GTAATCTCATAAGCGGATATAAGCTTAATTGAGCGAGTTGTTCAGCTCGAGGGATGCTATTTCGTCGATTAAATTGAAGCCAATTAATCACATAAGCTTTAACCTCTTCCGGAACCATTTGAGACTGCGATATATTAGCAATATTAATATAAAATTAAATCTAAGACTTACAATCTTAATAACTCGGCGAATCGTTATACCGTTTCTCTTACAAAATCCTTCAAACCATCTATTAGAGAATACGAATAACGCTTCCATCTCTTTAGCATCATGTCCTTGATTTTTAATCAATAATTGCTAACAATAATGCTTTACAAACAACTCTTTTGAATGCTTTTTAAACTACCACCTTCGTACAATATAACCTCCTTTTCGTCGTGCTTTAAAATCCGCAAATAGCTCTTTTTCCATTTCTAGCCAAACACATAACCAAGAAGTCGGTATTAAGCGAGATGCTCTTATCGAAGCGAAAATATTATCTCGTTCTTTCCACTACTTTTAAATAGTAGCTTCGCTGATCTTCTAATATAAAGCAGCTTGTTTTTGTATAAGAGAAACGTATTCGTATTATAGATATGCTTTTATAGCGTCATTCTATCGTTTGCGAGTAGCAAAGCGGTCTCGTTTCGGATAAGCGGGTAATGGAATTACTCGAGCGATTTTGTGAAAATACAAGAATAGTATTACGTCGACCTTACGCTCTTTAGGTCTGAATACTTTCGGGCATATAATAAGAGGACGAGGTGTATAAGCTATAATAGGATTATTATAAGCGTCTTTTCCAGCTTGATAATGAGCTAGTGTTCTAGGCTTTTTCCTAGGCCGTGGTCGAGGAGCGCGCTCCTTATAAAAAGAAGCATCTAATATAATATTGAGCTAAATGTGGATCCTGGCTAAGACCGTAAACTGTTAAAAATGCGGTCACCTGACTTACGCTCGCAACGTTAATTAGGTGCATCCATTTGAGCTTGGGCCATCAAGGAACACCAAAAACTTGACTAAGCGCTTACTAATATAGAAAAGGAGGTTTTGCGGGTGTAACGAGCTAGATTTGCGTTTCTGCGATTGAAATCGACTTTTTTTAATCGACTTTTTTTTAATACCTATTATTATAAATTATTTTCTTTTGGAAAAAACCTAATCAAAAAAAAAGAAGAAAAAAAGCTTCAAAACTAGCTTGCTGTATCGCTTTAAAAGGGCTATTGCTACAAATTAAATGCTTAAAAGATACCTAAGTAGCTGCACCGAGCTGAAAAGAGCTATTGCTATAAGTTAAATGCTCGAAAAGTAGCTGGTTGCATCGCGCGGAAAAAGGCTATTCTATAAAAAAAAGACTATATAAATATTCAAAAGATAGCTAGCTGCATCGCGCTAAAAGAAGCTATTATTATAAGTTATATAACTACGAATATTACACCGCGAAGTCCGGAAAACCTACTCCGGAGCTTGCGAAGGGCCGTAAGTTTTAGCTTGCGGCCGGGCTGAAGCGTCATATTTTCTTTACATCCTTTTAAATAGTATTTCTTATAGAAAATCGATGCGGAAGGCAGCCTCGCACCACGACCGGGCGAAGCAAGGTCTCCTCTGGCCCCGGAGCTTGCGGAGGGCAGCCAGAGGCAAGACCTTGTTTGGAGTGTTGAGTAAGTGAGATTCTTGAGGAGGTAGTTCAGGGCCGAATTTTCGTTTACCGACCATAATTTTGAAGACTTATATTGACGTTAAAAGATGCAAATAGCAAGTTCAGAGTATTCAAAGCAAATATTACGCTAAAGGACACTTAGGATTTTGATATGCGGCCGCGTCTCGGAGCGGCGTAACTATTGATCCCCCTTGTTTGCCAAGTACGCTAAACGGCTAGCGTTCCATCTCTCTCCTGAATTACTACGGTATGCAAAACCCGATTACTTAAGTAATATCTATTCGGTTACAACAGCCCCTCCTTTGTGATACCAAAGAGGGGTAGCTCATCAATTGTTCACTAGAGCTCATCCATAGTTCGCGTAAATTTCCACCTTTATTAAGAACACCCCCCTATGTTTACTACAAGCACACAAACTACTAGTTTTTCATATAGCAACCGTATTATTAATTTAATTATTACTTTAACGGAATCAATTGAATAGATTATTAGCTGTAATAGTTGAATATGCATTGCATATGAGGGTGTCGATAATAATAAAAAGTTAAAGTTTAGATTTAAAAATTTACGCGAACTATGGATGAGCTCTAGTGTACAATGGATGAGGTTGTTCCTGCATTCAGATGGAACCACTCTATACGTTTGGATAGGTGGGTATCGCTCGATGCTAGCTGATGGACATATGTGGACTGCTTGCCAGTGGCCGACGGTCCCATCCTCGCTGCGTTGTTAAAGCATAGCTTTATCTTTTCTGCACGCTTTCCATCTAAATCACGCTGTCCGATATCATATCAGCGTTAAATCGATGTTGCCAGAGCTAAACTTACTTGGTGACGTCATTTCTGCAAGCATCATCATTCCAATTGTAGCGCAAGTCTCTACATGGCAGCCTCCTCCATTCGTGCCTGATGAAAGGAAGTAATCGCATCTGAGCCCCGCTTCCTCTAGTGAGGTAGATGTTTTTCTCAACTATGATGGACCAAAGCACTATTCCTTCGCTTCTGGTCTGTAGCTTATAGTTCTATGGGCAATGAACCAGTAAATCTCCCTGAGACAAAGAGTATTTCACTCGAGCGTATGTGTAGGGTCTTTGGCGGAATTAACGCCGTATCAGCGGGCGGGAAACAAAAATCTGCCGAGAATATCGAGGCAAACACTTACAGTGGGCATGGCGTCGATGATAAAGCAATGGGTGTTGATGCCACTCATGTTAAGAGCGCCAGAAGTGCAGAGGAGGAAAGACGCATAAGCCTCTTGAAGCCTCATATGAAGAGGATGTTTTCAAACAAAGAAGAAACGTATAAAATAATGCACCCAATTTTAATGGGAATATAGGAACTGACGCGCCCAGTATGATGAAGCGAGAAAGCAGTTTAGCAAGTGAGAACGTCGTAGACCTGCGAAGAAAATACTTGCCTTCTGCGCTTGATATTTAACCTTATTCGACACGATGCTCTTTAACGATCCACAAATGTGCGTCTGGTAAGGACTCTGTTACCGACGCGTTATAATTTCTTGAGCAGGCCGGAACAATCTTCCGATTCGGGAAAAACATACTGCCAAGCATCCGCTCCACTTCGTGGCCTCGCTTACTGACTGCAGACATTAACAAATCCGGAGCAGATCCTGAGAAAAATAGAGATTGGCGGAGGACCACTGGACTAAGAATACTCGGTACGAATAATGTAACCTATCGCGAATCCTAGTTCATTATTCACCTCTCCGCGGTGCCTACGGGTAGGTAGGTAGATAAATCCAAGGCAGGCAACCCCCTTCAACATTATCCTGCTCTCTCTTTCATGATATGCCGCCCGGTCACTCATTGAAAAAGAAAGACTGTGTGTTCTGCCTTGGGTAAGAAGGATAAATAACCAAGGTCTCTGCGATTTGCTGAGGGCCAAGTGGACTAGTAGGATTCAAGGGCGGAGGGGAAGGAACGCGCTTTTCTGGCCACGGCTATATAGCCCAGAAAGTAACGTCCTCATATTCAGGATGTTGGATTACTACGAGCATTTCAAGCGCAGCCTTCCACAATATCAAAACAAGTATGCAGAAGTACAGTTATTCAGATCGATTATGACCGAGGTGAATTTCTTGCCGCGCGCAAGATCTCGGGGGTAGCCCGTCACCCACCCCCTTAAATTCATCCTCCGGCTTAAACTCGGCAGCATTCAGGTACCTACTGTATATATCATCTAACCTCTGCAAGTGTAACGAATTGCCTTCCACGCCCACTCAAGCGTTGACCGTAGGGAGCTCATACCTTCCCTAACAATCGCGAGAGTGGTAGCAGATGTGCGGAGTCCCATTATCACAACCCGGCATATTCCATCGCCAATATCTGATACGAAGACTCCCGCATCGAACTGAAAACAGTTCGACTGTTTGCAAGGGTACTGAAGGCAAAAGGTGCACCGAGTTAATAAGTCGTGGAAGGCATATTTAGATTCTACTCGAATCTGCTGGGCTTAAGCGCCAGTTGCTAAAGCCTTCTAAAATATCATTATCCCTCCTCTTAGGTCAGCCTTCATTCATAAAGACTCTAAGCTAACGATTAGTCATTCTTCATACTACCGCATATTTTTTTTTGATCATTTTTGGGGGTTTTTTGAGGCCAATATATTAATTTTGATTCCGAACGAACTTCCGTCAATGAGGCAGCCGGCATCGCTCTATTCATAAATCGCTCTTCGATAATTCTGTAGGTTCGAATACGTTCTTATAATAAGAAGCTCATATATATATCTATATCATGAAATTGAATCTGTAAAAGAAAAGTCGTTTTTGAATATTTTATATCGGTACTTTCGAGCTGTTCGGCATTCAATCACGCCAAAATTTGAAAATTGCTAACACCCATTCAAAAAGCCAAAATAAAAGCGAAACTAATCTAATTGGTAGACGTTGGTGATTTAGGAATATATCAAGCCTCATAATACGCGCTCACCTTTCAAGTCTGCGCGTTGCTGTTGCTATACCCTGCTCCCCCTACCCACCCTCAAAGATTCCTCAGTTAGCGCTTCCGAGGAAATCAAAATTCCGTGGTCCGGTAGGCTGCCTGATTGTAACGAGGCTGGCTGTCGACCGAAGTTCTCTTTCCCATCTACAACCCAGCACTGTTCTATTCGATACATATCACGACTGGACGACAACCTAGACGTCTCACGACGCGATGACAACCTACTCAGTGGGCTCTAACAGCACGACTCGACCGAATGCCTTTATCGCAATTGCATAAGCTTGAAGCCCCGAAACTCCTCGACTTGTCTTTCCAAAGTCCACTTCCCGCCAAGGTTCTCTAGAATCGCATAGCACGCCAATTCTCACAGCTTAGTCCGGGCGCTGTATTGAGATTTCTGCAATGGCAGATCTGACTTTCAACCAAATCGAAACCGACTGGGCCAAGTTGGTAAAGAGTACTCCTTCCGTGGCCCGATGGATTGCAAAGGGAGGCAAACCCCCCGCTATACAGGGTAAACCGAATCAAGAGGATATTGAAGAGAGGAAATGGTTGAAGCTCAGGGTCAACTGGGATTCCAAGAATGGAAGATGGATTCTGCATCGACTAGTGAGAGAATCGAATAAGCAACTGGGATGTCAGGAGATTGTAACTATCGACAAGGGTAAGCAGCGCTCAGTGCCTATCAATCGCACGTAGTTTGAAACTAATGTCTTCCTAGCAGCCAGAAAGGTCTACGTGCAAAAACACATATTCCAGGGAATGGAAATCGATTTCGAAGACTGGTTCATCCAGAGATACAGTGGGCTTGCACGAGCCGATCTAAGATGGTTGATAAAGCGTTTCCAGGAGATGAGCGAAGTAGAGACGGTGCGAATGCAAAGTAGCGTAAGAGACGAGTCGGAATACCTGGTTCCGGAGGATTGGGCCACGATGAACCCCAAGTCTGCTCCCCAGGAGGTTGGCGGTATCGAGGGTACCGTAGCTTTGGAAACAACAGCAGAATTGAAAGCTTCTCCGGTAAATATCAGCTTTCAGATGCCGGGCAAAGGACCCAGCAATACTGACAAAGATCACGTTCAGATTGTGAATTCGAAGTCTGAGGTAACCATTCCTGGAACTTCCGAGAATGATTTGCCGGATAAAGCTCAAATCGAGCCGAGTCAGAGCTTAATGGAAGAGAAGGTCGGCAGTGTAGGTAAGCAGCAATTGAAGGCACCAGAGGCACCAGAGGCACGAGTTGCCAAGCGCACTTGTCACGAGCCAAGAAGTCTCGTTGGGGTTGGTGCTACCGAGGTCGAGACTGCTGTCGATGAGGCGTTCGTTGTCAGCGAGAGCGAGGAACTTGTCCATGACGAGTTTTCAAAAGATCGTCACCAGGACGAGAGCCCCGGCAAGGAGAGAGATGTTGTTCAGTCCACCGAGGCTGCTCCTTTTAAGAAGGAGGAGCTCTGTAACCAGGACGATGAGCCAAAGGGAGGTAATACGGAGGAGAAAGACGAGGAACACGAGGCAGACGAGGCAGACGAGGCAGACGAGCAAAACGAGGAAGAGGAGCAAGATGAGGAAGAACATAAAGACGAGGAAGAAGATGAAGACAAGGAAGACGAGGTGAATGCATTGAGACAGTACAGAGCGGATTCTCCGGAGATGATGCATGACCGCGAGAAGGTCATAGTACGCAAGTATCAATGGCCGAGTTGGGTCGCTTTTAACGAGGGAGAGGTCAGAGCCTACAAGGTTCCGGATCAAACAGGGTCTTTCAGAACCGTTTTCTACCACAAGGAGAGCGATGACCATCACTGGGAGGAGTACGATCCTTTACCCAAGCCCAAGGGTACCGGTCAGCGCTTTGGTGGTAAGACCAGCCGAAAGGAGATCCTTGCCGCAACGAGTGGCATTGCAAAATCCAACAGGATCGGCAGAAAGAACAGGAATTGACCAACCCTTAAAGCCAATTCGATCAAGATCTAGTCTCCGCTCTAAACACGGCGTCAGCTCTAAGTCCAAGTCCGCTAATCGTCAATAGGCCCGATGCAAGGGCAACAGCCTCGAAGTCCTCCTCAGCCTCTTCGTCACCTTCATGAAAAAATATTTCCCTCTGGCAAGAACTCGTCTCCATTATCAGACTCTCTTGACTTGGTCTGGCTAGATCTTTGCGAAGGGTTTTAGTGAACAGTCTGCCGAGTTTCTTCTCCAACCTCGATGTCCGGTCCGCCACCGTGCCGTTATGGTGCTGGTCCTTTGTCTTGTTTTCCTGGCATACCTACACCAGCCCCTCCTATCTCTTTGGTCTGCCTGGGGGTCGAGGGGAAGCACTGGGCAGATCTTTCAATCCTGTAAATGTAGTTTCGGTGAGAGGTGGGCGGTAGACTGAGGCACTTTGACGATGAAGATAGATATATGTACATACTCAATGCTCTTTTCTCGCGCGCGCTTTTCTGCTTTACCTTTTTTTTGTTACCCCGATAGTTGGCAAAGGAGTCTCTTCGTGTCGGTAGTCCCCTCCAATAAGTCGTGAAAAAGGCATGGATGAGTTCAACATGTCTTTGGGGTCTGAAGTCAAACAGCTACCCAGATAGCAGCTGAGACCCGAAGTAAGAGCATCCCACAACTCGTGGGCACAACGTAGGGAATGACCAAAAAATTAGTAGGCAAGAGCCCTGAAATCCGGGTCACGGTCACGAACAAGGTTGTATTGGGCCGCAGCAATAGGTGAGGATTGCGTAAAGCCAATGGATCCTTTGATCTAGAGATCTGAAGGGCTCAGAAGCAAGTTCAATACAAAACTCGTCTTCACAACGCCCTTTCGCTTCGCCGTGAAGAGAATGGTCGACTCAAAACTGGGGAGCCACGTGATCTCGGTAGATCGGCATCCGATCTCCGTAGACTTACGCCCTCAGCCTTGTGGGAAGGCAAGGGTTGATTGTTTCAAAGACCAATTGACACATTGACTCGAGGTTAAAATTCTTATTGCTCTCCATGAAAACACCTGAGATACCAGAGCTTGGGCACCCCGTCTCTCTTCCCGATTCCCCCTCCACCAGCTGAAATACGACGGGTAAAAGCCCGGGAAGAAGGAAGATGTATCATCTAGCGAAAGGGCTGTATCTATACGCCACGAGCAAAGAAGGTAATATAATACATAACATACGTACTTATCCTACCCCACAGTTACTGACCCCAAGAGAACAGAATACTCCGTCCTCCTCCTCGGCCTGGACAACGCCGGCAAGACGACCTTCCACGAACAAGTCAAAGCCCTCTTCCTGCCCTCGCACACGCCCAAGCTCAAGACGGTGCCGACGGTCGGCCAGAACGTCTCGACCATCACCATGCCGGACATGTACCTCAAGATCTGGGACGTCGGGGGCCAGCACTCGCTGCGCAAGCTGTGGCAGAGCTACTACACCTCCTGCCACGCCATCGTCTTCCTCATCGACAGCACGGACATCGCGGACGGGAACCTCGAGGGCGACGATTCCGGCCGCCTGGAGGAGTGCCGGCTGGTGCTGGAGGATGTGCTGCAGCATAGCGAGACGGAGGGCGTGCCGCTGCTGGTGCTGGCGAACAAGCAGGATAGGGAGGACTGCGTGGAGGTCGTCCGCATCAAGGAGGGGCTGGTCAAGAAGGTGTTTGAGGGCGAGAAGGGCGCGGGCATCCGCGATAGTAGGGTGCTCCCCGTGAGTGCGTTGACGGGGACGGGTGTCAGGGAGGCGGTGGAGTGGGTGAGGAGTAGGGTGAAATGGAACAAGGAGGCGAGACCGCCCGTTATGAGGTGATCTTTTCTTTGCGCGTGCACTCCCTAGGGGTTGGCTAGGATTCTGGGTTACATGGACAGCGAGGCGTTGGGAGGCTTTTGATATCAGGTGGGATCTTCGTGGATAGAGAGGCACGCATTGGACGGGTCATCTGTTTTAACTGATCGAACGCATAGAATTTATTCGCTTGTGGCTTCAGAGCCTTTCATCCAACCCAGGCAGGCCCAACAACCTCACTAAGGAGCGCGGTTCGAGTCTCCTGCACACACTCAGAATGTCGGATATCAAGATCATCTACCCCCTCCCCAACTTTCCTTCATGCCTTCCAACACTCCCTTCCCCTCAGCACCATCTCCGACAACTTCAAACCCTCTGCAATCCCTTAATCCCTTAACCCCCTACCCCCTCCCCCCCCTCCTCACCCCCCAAAGTTCCTATACGGAGTCAAAGCGCCCCTCTTCGCCTATAGACAACCGCCCGTATGATACATGCCACGATGCTTTACGAAGCACCAATCGTCAACCGAACGAAGATGATCAACAGAGAAAAGAAAGAAAAAAAGAGGGATAGTAAAAAGAGAGATGATTCTTCTTTAGGCATACTTGTGAGATGAGATGAGGGGTAATTCGGATATCGTTGAACTTTCAGTCGAGGGAACTTTGAGACGTGTTCTGTGCGCGCGAGGCAGAAGTCTAGAGTTATATGATTCTGTAATAGATTCGCTCTGTTATTATGTAACAAACCAGCTATGTTATTCCACAATTAAATCTGCTATTGAATGAAGCATCCGCCACTCATTTATCCATCCCTTTGTATTCATCCTTCTCTTTCATCCACCCATTCAGGCTGACAAGACACGTCTTGATATCTTCAAGGCAAAAAAAAAAAAAAAACAAAAAAAAACCCAACCAGACTCCCCAAGTAACCTTCTTGACGCCAGCTTGACGCCAACAGTCCCATCTATCTATTGCAGTCCGTAGACAAGGAGCATCGCTAAGTTCAAAGAATCCAATTCAAATCTCATCTTCTCCATCTCAACTCATACCGGATCCGATAAATCCTTCAAATATAGTTAAGAGCCGCCGCAGCCCAATAGAACGCTCGCTGGTAACGCAACCTAGGGTTATTAGGAAAGTCATTTGTCCACACAAGATCGAACACCGCTCTCAAATCGTATTAGGGTAATATAACCCTTCTCTTTCTCTCCCAAAAAAAAGGGCCCGACTTCATCCTTCGGATAGGCCTGTTTTCGTTCTCGAATCGTCTTGACTGGGCCCGTGTCATCACGGAGCGGCGTAGGTGATAGCGTATAAATATCTCCGTCGTACTTCCACATCTCAGGATCGATGATGCAGGTATAGTAGGCATGTTTCAAAATGTGCTCCAGTGCCAGTCTCGGGGAACGCTCGCCGCCAGGCTCTGTGGCTCCCCTGGTCCCATGCCGAAAACACTCCCGAGTCGAGCCACTCGACTCGCCGGGCAGCTCACCGTCGGCGTCGGCGGCTCATTGGGATCCGAGCTCTCGCTGTTGGAACGGCTGCTCAGAGCGATCTTCCAGCGCAGGTAATCGCCATAGCAGTATTCGCAGGCCCGCACCTTGGCGCCTTCAGGGTGATAGTTCGCGTCTTGGTCGAGGGGGACGGCGTGGGAGGAGTGCCGGCCGCAGAAGATGTTGCCGCAGCGGCGGCAGTGGTGTTTGCGCGAGAGGAGGCCGAAGTAGGCGTGGCAGGTCGTGTCGTCGCAGATGGCGGATTCGGCGTCGGGCTGCAAAGCTGCAATTAGCATAAAATCCCCAAGACTTGATCCGAGTATACGTAATAGAATGCGGGCGTAAGCATATGCAATGCAATGTAAGTTTGGTGAGGTTTTGTTTTGATAGACACGCGAGCGCTGGCTAGCGGGGCGACGCGAGCATCGGAAGCGTTGGCTGCACGGATTTTTTCCCCCATCACAACTTTTATCTATGCCCAGCACGCCATATCCCACAAGGTGTCGCGCGACCACAACCTTTAGACACCATATATAACCAAGACATCCCCCGCTTCAACTTGGCCGAACTCAGATTCAGAGATATGAGGACATCTGCTAACGTACCTTCCAGTGTTTTCTCGTGGGCAAGGCCGTCACTTCTCCCAGTCCTAGGCTACTCCATTCCGCTTCCACAATTTCACCCAACCCGGATTTTCCACTGTCGCCACTCTGCTTTCTACTCAATGTCCGCGCCGTTTCCCATTCATCAAGGTTGTTGTCCTTGCTGAGTGGCGGGGTCAAGGGCGACTGTCTGGCTGTCCTCCGCGGGGGCTCGGTAGCCCTCAGAACCGCTGGCACATACATTGGGGACTTGCGCGGTCGCAGATGGCTCGACTGCTGCTGCACATGCGCCGGAACGCCTGATCGCGGAGACGTTGGCGACGTGTTACTGGGCGTGGCGGTCTCTGGATTGATAGGAGGAGTCTGTTGCGAGTTGAAGAGCGTATACTGTGTGGGCGACGCCGTGAACGGTTGCACGGGCATCGCGAAACCATTTGCCATCGGCGCTGTCGTAGGGCGCTGAGAGCGCTGGGGATTATTGTCTGACATGAAGGAGAGAATGGAGATCTGCTGGTCCGACTTCTCGAGAAACATTCAGAGGGAGAGTCGGTGAGCAGAGATGCGAGCGGGATTGGGCCACGGCAGTTCCAGAGGTGTCGCGACAATGCGACAAGACCGCTGTCAGCTCTCAAGTCAAATTTGCAGTTCGGATATCATAGGCTCAAAAGCGTTACAGGCGTTACAGCCTTCTGCGAGTGGCTCTCCGAAGTGGTACAATACTTAGGTCTCAAGAGTGGGCAGGCCGATGACCACGTTCCTGGCGGCTGCTCCCAATGCTCAAGGGCTGCCGGTCTGCGGATGGACGAGGGATGTAGTTGAGTGTTGTGTGTAACTTCGGGCCGCGTTGCAGATGAATTATCGTGACTTTGCCCTCGGGGGATGTCCTGGTAAATTGGTCTTGACTGTAGACTCGGCGGCGTCTCTTGGGATGACGCTGGTGTTGACAGGCAATGCTCGATTACTCTGTACGAAGCAACAAGTAAGGAAGAACGGTATGGTTGATATTGGTTGACAAGGCAGAGAGATAGTGCAGTGTAACTACCATTGAATACAGCGAGATGGTATAGAGAGTTGGAATTTGACGTCTTCTCCAGCGTGGAGTGAAGGATGCCGTGGAGCGTCCGTCGAGAGATACCCACGTCCGTCCGGAACGGTGCTCGCCTTCCTATTAACAGCGACGGATATGATGACGCTAGACGATCCTCCCTATCGGTTGATAAGTATAAGCGGTTCCGTCGCCAAATTAGCCCCGTATCTGGCCAACGGGCTGCGTTGATTGGCCTCGGACGGCATGAGGCCAGGGATGCCCGAGCATCCGTGCACCGTGGCAGTTTTGGTGGCGGCCAGCTCCTTCAGCCACACTGGTCGGTCGTTGTTGATGTGCCGGAGTTGTAGTTGTAGTTTAGTTGTAGTTGTAGTTGCAAGTAGAAGTGGCGAGAAGTAGACGTAGCAGCTAGAAGGTTAGAAACCAATAGCTGAATAGCTTTACCACGGGGCTAAACGGGCCAAAAAGGCACAATCACTGAGAACGCTCCTCAGTCAGCTATTCTACTATATATAGAACGCTAGTCAGCTCTCCTGACTAAGCCTGCTACTCCTGACATAGAAGTAGGCGTAGCTAGGAGTAGAGATAGCGGGAAGTAAAAGTAGCGAGATGCAGAAGTAAGGAGAAGTAGAAGTAGCGAGAAGTAGAAGTAGCGGGAAGTAGAAGTAGAAATAGAAGTAGCGAGAAGTATAAGTAGCGAAAAGTAGAAGTACCTAGAAGTAGAAGTACCTAGAAGTACTACGTATGAAAGGACACCAGTAAGCAAGGGGGCACTACGGAAGAGTCGTCTACTACCGTATCTACTACGTACGTACTACGTCTACCTACCAACCTACTTACAGCTAGACGACCGGATGGTGGTATTTCGACCAGGAACCATGTCTCACCTAATCCCTTCAGCCGCATCCTGTCGGTCATTAGGGCGCGGGAGGTTCTTCTTTTTGCATCGCCAAGGACAGGGAACGTGTCGCGTGTGCTAAGCGCTATTGCCAGGGTGGTGATTGGCCAACGCCAGCATTCCCTTATCGTAAGACGCTGAGTGGCCGAAGAGCACCAGCGGTGGAGCCGAAGAGAGAGAAGCCCGAGACGGCAAGAGGGACAAGAGGGACAAGAGGGACAAGAGGGACAAGACTATCCCAAGGAACCTCCTCGCTCGAACCACAAAATATACGTACAACTTGCACTCTCGCCACTCGTAATAACCTTCCAATTCCTCACTTGTGCCGGGTAATAGACGATGTCATATTATATACTACGAACTATACTACGGACCATACGTCTTCAGGCGGTGAAAGGATAAGGTAAGGAAGATGGCTTCTTATCAAACAAGAAGGCAAGCGGATATCGTACGAAGTCAGATAAGATAAAATCGTTTGTAAGTCAGTCCGTACGGAATATCTTTTAATAACCACAGACAGACGCGCGAGCCCACTCCGGGGGATATAACAAGCGATACGAGCTGCCAATATCCATACTTCTGCGCCAAGCTGGATGCATGCATGGAAAGTCATTATTGAAAGGGCAGAAGAAAAAAGAAAAAAAAAGCCTGAGAATGCAAAGACGATCGACTCCAGCACGGATCGCCAACGCATCCCTACGAAAGAATCAAAGCTGATCCCTCTTAACCCCTTGAGCCTCTCGTCTCTGTTGAAAGTGGCCAGGGTAGAGTACTCACTCAGTATGCCGTCAACAAGTGCTTCTGCTGTGAGGAGGGGATATCTTCTTCGACCTGCCTGCCTGCCAAGCGACATCGCGATTCCCAGTGACAGCGACAAGCTGTCGACCCCGAGGCCAGCGACTAGGAGGCTTGGCTATCCTTTCCGAGTGCGAACGGCAACAGAACAAAAGTGAGATCCGTAAGTAAATGTTCAAGATATCGCGACCCCCTGTTCCTTTTCAATCAAGCCCACCTTGGCTAGAGCGCCAAAAATATCGCTTATCCGATTCGTCCCGCGGACGACGGGCCGATCAGCCCTTCTCCACACTTCAACGACGCGGTCACGGGGTTCCCAGCTACAACTCGCCAGAGCTCAAGGCGGGATTATAAAAGGCGTGGGGGGTAGACTGGACAATCTTCCTCTCCCTTATCGCATCTCTTTATCTTAGTTTTATCTATCGATGCACTGAGGTGACAGAAAACAGACCAATCGAAAAGACGTCTGGCTTTTCCGTTACGTCTCAGTCTCGGTCCTTCCTCCTCCAAGTGGCAGTCCCCCCCGGCTCATCCCTCCGTAGAACGCAAGCTTCAATTTGGAAAATGTCCTATATCAAATTCAAATTAAATAGGACCCAATCGAGAAATCCGGAGTCGGAATACTCCAACCTCCCCAGTCAAAAGTAAAGAGTGAGAAAAAATGCCTCTGTCTTTGTCCCAGGAGAAGAGAACAATAGCAAGGGCGTTTTCTTTCTCTCTCTCTCTCTCTCTCCATTCCTGAAATACCAAACAACAATACTAAGGTCCTCTCGCTTAGCCCCCTTCTTTCAGTTTCCCCTGCACGGCCCAACCCCTTCCAGCCCGTATGATAAATAACCAAAAGGCCATCCATCATCTGGCAGTCATCAGAATCCCTCATTTATCAAAGATTCTCACTCCCTCTCTTTCTTTTCTCCATAAAAAATAAAAAGAGTTTTTTTTTTTCCTAAAAAACAAAAAGAAAAAGAAAAAAGAATTGAAAAAAAGGGGAAAAATCTTATCCCTCCATCTTGGTCCTCACTCATAAGACTCGGAACCCAGAACCCAGAATCCATCCTGTCGAGGATATCAAAGCTCTGGATTCCATATATAAATATAATTTACTTTACTTCCGGCCGGGAAGTCAGCCTGCCAGCTAGCGAGGAAAGTACAGCAGGGAAGAAGAAGACAGGAGGGGGCAGGAGAAGAAGAGAAGAAGAAAGAAAAAAAGAAGAAGAAGGGAGATAAAGGTGGGAAGGAAGAAGGGGAGGACTGAGGACGCGAGATAGACGACGAGATGTTCCCGTTCTACCCTCGGCCGCCGATCCAGCCGGCTGTTGTCGTCGTGGCGGTGACGGCTGCGGGACAGGTTGTTGTTTTGGATGTGGTGAGGATGGAGGGGGTTGGGAGGATGTGGTAGTTGGGAGTTGGTACGAGGAGGGGTGGAAGGGGTTGGGGGGTGGAGGGTGGAGGGTGGAGGTTGGAAGCTTGGAGCTGGGTACGAGGAGGGTTGGAGGATGGACGAATGGACGAATGGATGGATGGAATAAGATGCGATGCGACTTGCGAACTGCCACGAGGGGGGGGGAGGGGGGGGCAACTCACAAGACGAGATATTAGGAGGAAGCGGAGACTTGGGTATAGCTGTGTGTGTATAGGAAAGGATTCAAAGGCTAAGGCTAGGGGGTGGGAGGAGAGGAGAAGACCGAAGGCCTGGATTCACAGAAGAGGGAGGACTTGCCAAAGAAAAAGTTGATAGATGATGAAATTAAAGGATCACCAGTAATACTCGAAGGCAGACCCCTCTGCATTTCCTCCTTTTTTTTCCACATGGTTTTAAATCTCTAGAGATGTGGAGATTTCCCCTTGATTGGAACTTACATGCTCCGCGGGTTTTTAAATTCTCAAGTTGCCATATACATAGAGGCCAGACTTTGGTAGATGAACCACGACCCTGCTAGGGGTGCGAGCTTTGCTGAGTACGGATGGGAGACGTGCTGAATATCTTGAAAAGGGTTACTTACTTACTTACTTACAGCTTCAAGCTATAAACATATGTATATATACGCACCAAAGAAGCTTGCCGCGCAAGCAGACAGACCGTCTTGGCCATAACCAAGCAAAAGTATCGACCGACACACACTTTCTTTTGCCCTCTGGCACAGACAGACATACCTGCGCTATACCAACCCGAGACTACAACCCGCTTACTCCGCTTCATAAGTAAGTTTGCTTTAATTTGTGTATATCTCCAAACGATGCCACCCACCCACACTTCAGAGGGGGGGGGAAGTGCGAGAGGTGAGGTTGTGTTTTTTGTAAGTTCTTCTCTCTGGGAGAATTCTAGTAGTATGTAACCTCCAGAGGTGGCACATGCACCCTAGCCCCACCTGGTGGCCTCAGGCCATCACACCTACCCCATTATTTTGTTTTCGTCCATTCAAGCGCCCCCCCTAGCGTTCTCGCTTAGCGTATGTACCTACTTACTCCATGGTAACGACATACATCTGCTTGTGCAGATACACTTCCACGCCACCACAGCCTAATCACGAAGGATGGTTCAGTAATTCCAGGGCTACAATCTGTTCGAAGTAGGATTCAGAATATTCTACTATACGATCCCAGAGAAGTAACATCGAAATTCTATATTCTAGAACTAGAACACTTTCACTAAATATTAATTATACTTATCTTAAAACCGCCAGCCCTGCGATCTGTATGTACTCCGTAAAGTAGAAAATTTTTTTGGCTTGTTGCATATCGCAAAAATCTTGAAATGGCGTCATGATTATTTTGGATATTCATTGCTGCGTCTATTTCATTCATACAGACGCTAACACCAATCTGTACCCAAAGTAGAAAAAAAATATGGTTTGTTGCATATCGCAAAACCCTTTAAATGCCGTCATCGTTTATTTCCTGTATTCATCTTCGCGTCTATTTCATCCATAGTGACGCTAGTACCACCGCCAGCCGCGCAGTCTGTACCCAAAGTAGAAAGGAAATATGGTTTGTTGCATATCGCAAAAACCTTTAAATGCCGTCATCGCTATTTTCTGTATCCATATCTGCGTCTATTCCACTCATCCAGACGGTAACACCACCGCCGGCCACGCGATTCATACCCAAAGTAGATTTTTGTTGCATGTCGCAGCAATCTTTAAATGCCGTCATAGTTACTTTTCTGTATTCACGTTTGCGTCTATTCCACTCATACAGACGGTAGCACCACCGCTAGCCACGCGATCGATACTTAAAATAGATTTGTTGCATATCGCAGAAATCTCTAGATGCCGTCATGGTGTTCTTGATATTTATTCTTGCGTCTACTTCGGTCCTCTATTTCATGTTTATCATATTCGCGACTTTATTATAGAAGTAACTCCTTATCAGAACGAATCATTATAAAACTTTCTCTATTCTAGATCCTAAGAGCTTTGCTTTTTGAATACATCTGAAATACCTGCTTACACTTGTAATTGGTCGATGCCCTACAGTTCGTACATACTTAGTTCACGCCTAATTACTTACCTAAAAGAAGAAAAGTCTAGTCTACTCGCGCGATTTTTACTTAGAATAGATTTGTTACATATCGCAAGAATCTTCAAGTGCCGTCAATGCAGTTTTCATATTCATTACTGCATCCATTTCATTCCTTTAACATGTCCATTGTTTTATATCTATTGTAAGCGCTATTGTCTTGTGAAGTTCTGGCAATGCTCGTTATCAAGACAAGTAGTTGTAAATCTTTATTCGAAGCTCAAGAGCTTCGCTGTTTGATACATCTGAAATTCCTACACCTCAAATTATCGACATTCCACACTTCCTACTTAGTCTGAGCCTAGTTATCTACTCGAGAAGAGGAGAAGTCTGATCGTCCCAAATGGGCAACAAGGCCACCCTGCAACCAAGCTCAAAAAACTCCTCTTTTATAGCAAATATACATCCACCAGGCGCAAAATGAGCACACCAACTTAGAATCTTAGCCAAATCGGCGAAAACCCTTTGACCTCAGTAACAGAAAAAACTGGCATCCCAGTATATCCCACTCCAAACCTCCCCGCTCTTTTACAAAACATCGCGTCAAGCGATCCTGGAAACTAAACATCGAGCGCGTCAAGAGAGAGAGATATGCATATATATATATATATATATGTATTCTTACTCTAGATTGAACAATAAATATCAGCCGTCTATCCGTCCGCTGATAACTATTACCCACCACCCACAACTCTCCTCCCTCCAAGGCCAGTCCACCAAGAAGAAAAAGAAAAGAAAGATGACGCAGCAAAACGAAAAGCTCGAAACGGCTGGGCGAAAAAAAAAAATAACAAAAAAAAAAAACTCGGCCCCTCCAAGCTTCCCAGCAACCAAAGGGTCATCAAACAAACATCATCCGCAGCGACGAAGAAGTGACCCAGCGAAAAGTGAGTACTTCGTATCCGTCTGGGACTTATAACAACAAACACATTCTACACAACTGCTATCCATCGACTGCGTACGGAGGTGCACCCATCACACAATCTCGCCCAGCGCCAAGAAGGGCCTCTATAAAACGCAGCAGAAGAACGACACCATCCATCCCCCATTTCGAACAGCAACATCCAGCCAACAGCCATAGCCCGCTCCAAATCCACGAGCGACCACGTACACCCCACCCCCAGAGACCAGACCAAGCGCCGAACCGAAAGAGATAAACCGTACCAATATGATACGATCCACCAGCGAGCGCATCCACCGCCCTACTCGCAAAGCGGCGACGACGACGACGACGAAACAGCCCTTCCCAGCCAGCCTCGACACAGCAACACCCGACTGAGCAACGACGAGAAGGGCCAGGCTCACACTTCCCAGGCCGGTATGGAAAGAATGCCAAGAAGGAGAATAGTAGCGACTCGAGAAAGCACACAGGGATGGAAAAGACGCGACGCGACGTCCATGTCGCTGGGGTACTAGACGACCCGCGATAAAGCCAGGATTGGAAATCCGCGACTTGCTGGTGCCCAACGGCAAAGAGAGAGTCCGGCTTCGAGACCGATGAGCGAGCGAGCTCGCTAGCTAGCTAGCTAGCTAGATACCAGGGATTCGGTCGCTTGCCTCGTAATCTAATAGTCCAATCGGACCAGGACAATCACCATGAATGAGCTTCGCTGAATCCTGAACGGGCTGGGCGCCATTTATTCATTCATCCGTTCATCCGTTCAATTCAGTCCTACAGCCAAACCAAGCCTGCTACAGCTAGCTAGCTTAGTATGTACGCTTAGTATATACGCTCAAGCTACCTCGCTGGTCGCGCTAGAGAGAGAGAATAGAAAGACTTGAAATCTTTGTACCTACCTGGTCAAAAACAGATCAGCAAGAGCACACAAAACCAAGTAAGATCAGAAGTTCCAAAAAAAAAAGAAAAAAGAAAAATAATTGAAGGGGAGGAAAGGGGAAGGGGAGAGAGGGGTAAAAAAAAAAAAAGGTAACCTACAGTACCGGTATCATCCTCTTCAGAAAACGAATTCGTCAGTTAAGAAACCCAACAACAACAACAACAATAACATAAACCATTCCCCATCGCGCCTTCAGATAGTACGCACGAGCGAGATGATCCTATCCATCTATCTATCAGCGTACCTACCACACAAGTAGCAAAAAAAAAGAAAAAAAAGGGAAAAAAAAGGGAGGCGTGACGACGAACGAAAAAGAGAGCCCGAACCAGCCTCGATGTAGCAAGAGCTTCTCTTCTCCTCTCCTCCCCTCTCCTCTCTTCAAGAAAAAACAAAAAAAAACAAAAAAAAACAAAAAAAACAAAAAAAAACCAACTTTAGACCAACGCCGCTGCAGAAGGAGATGAGACTTTTCTTCTTAGGATTCAAGTATATAAAGATCAGCTCTCGAGAGGTACATACAGTACATCTCCGACAGCAAGGAAGCAGAGGGTCAAAACCAGACGCTTCATCTATCTATCTATTTATCTATCTATCTATCTACCCATTCCAGCCGTCGACCAACCAGAGGTCCCATCCGAGGACGTCCACGTCTACGGATGATCACAGCGCGCGAGTCTCCAGAAAGCCATGCGCAAGATCGCCTCTCGCCGAGGGCGAGAACAACAGCAAGAGGGCAGGAGGGCAGGAGGGCAGGAGGGAGAGCCGCAGCAGAAGCAGCAAGCAGCCTTCGACCCTCGTCGAAGACGAGACGGCCACGCGCGCGGCGGATCCGACACCCGGGGAGGTCGACAACGACCCGGGGGTACGACACGGGATTCGGCGGCAGGGACGACCCCGCCAGCGCCGGGACGCCGACCGCATGATGCGGAGAGGGGGCTGGGCTACATGTTCGCCATGGCGGCTGCCCGCTGGAGGTACCCGCTCGCACCGGGCAGGCCGGCCTGTACACGCCCTACACTACACCGGGCAGAGCGGCGAGGAACGGGCCAGACTCTGCATCTTCAGCCAGCAGTGCTACGACCGGTACGGACCGAGCTGGCCGCAGGGCGAGAAGCAGATCGGGGAGCAGCAGCCTTGGTTCGCCCTGAAGGCGATCCAGGAGCTCGCGGACATCGTGGCCGGCCTGAACCACGCGGTCCCGCCGCTCGTCAATGTGCTGCAGGTCCAGACCGGGCACACGTGCTGTCCCACGAGGCTAGCCTTGATAGCCGGGTACTGTACGGGGAGAGTGGCGGCATGATTGACGGGCATCCGGTCCTCGACCTGGACGAAATCAAAAACCAGTGCGAGCAGAGAAGGGAGGGGAGGGCGGGCTGGAACATTCGCTTTGGGCTATGATATCGAGAAAGGAATTCGAGAGGAGGATGATCAAATGCAAATACTACTTGCTTTCATACCATCTCCCCAACCCTGCTGTGAAGACTCATGTCTTCTGTATCCTCATCATCCCTCTCGGCTTAAGCCATAACAACGAGTTCCACATTGCCAGCGTCCGGGACCACCGTAATACTCCGTGAAAAATGCCCAGTGAGGCTTCCGTAAACATCTTTCATTTTGAAAGGCCAAGAGTCAGCAGGGACTGACCATACATGACTGAGCTGAGGCGCTCCTTAATCCACCAAGATCGTAGCCTCCAACTCCCCAAAGTGCTCAAAGAAGCTCTCGAACAACCGAATCCCGTGCTCCACATCGTAGACGCCGCCCGTCTCGCGAATACTATGCATGCTCAGCTGGGGATTCCCCAGATCGAGGGTCCTCGTGCCCAGAGCCGCACTCAGCATGGGTCCAATCGTGCTGCCACAGCTGCTGTCGTTCCTCACCACAAACAGCTGCAGCGGGACGCCAGCGCTCGCCGTCGAGTCGGCCGACGGCTTCGCTCGCCGAGCGACTTCTTGAAGGAGGACGATGCCGGGTGAGTTGGTCGCGTAGCGCTGGTTGGCGTTGATCTTGATGACGGGGCCTTTGTTCATCTCGGGACGGTGATCGGACTCGTATTTGTGGCTGTAGTTGGGGTTGACGCTGTGCGCCATGTCGGCGGAGATGAGGAAGGACGACGCCAGGGTCTGCTCGTACGCTGTGGAAAGGTCCAACTCGGCTTCTCTGACTTTGTCGTAGGAATTGTCCGAGGCCGCATCGTGGTGACCTGGAATGACAGAGAGACGTCTCAGGACGGCAGGGAGGAGGTTGGAAGCCGCGCCGTGGGCTGACGTGCTGCCGATTTCTTCGTGATCGAAGCCAGTCGCCAAGCGAATGCAAGAATCCTGCTCGAGAGATGATGCCGAGGAGACGGACTCGATAAGACCCTGGAGAGCACAGTATGTCATGCCCAGGTTATCCAATCTCGCCGAGAAGATCAGCTCGTTGTTGATGCCACCTATACACCCCTTCTGCGTATCATACAGCACCATCTCAAAGTCCACCACCTCTTCCACAGCAACCCCCGCATGCTCGGCAATGATTTCCACTACATACGGATGATGCCTCTCACTCAACACCTTCAACGGCTTAAAATCCCCCTCTCCCTCCTCCTCCTCCTCCTGCGCCACCTCTTTCTTCTCCTTGACCCCCGTACGATTGAGCTCCGCAGCCACCAATCCAGCAATCGGAAACAGCTCCGTCTCCTTATTCGGCTCGAAGCTGGCGCTGCGATCGAGATGGATCGCCAGCGTCGGGATCCGCAAGAGGGGCCTCTCAACCTTGACCAGCTTCTGCACAATGTTCCCCTTCCCATCCTTCACCATGGCCCTGCCAGCGATGCTCAAGTCCCGATCGAACCACGTGTGCCAGATGCCGCCGCCGTACGTCTCGACGCCGACCTGCATGAAGCCCGCGCCCGTCTTCTTGCTGACGGGCTTGAGGCGGAGCGTGCAGGAGTCGGTGTGAGCGCCGATCATGGCGATGGGGTTGCCGGGCTTCCATTTCTGGCCGATGGCGAAGGCGACGAGCGAGGAGGAGTTGCGTGTGAGGAAGTACTTGCCGCCGGGCTGGAGGGTTGAGTTCCAGCTGTCGCGTTCTTTGATCTCGGTGAAGCCCGCGGCTGTGAGACGCTGGATAGAGGATTGGACCGCATGGTAGGCTTTGCAGATATCAGAGTCAATTCGGAATCCGGGTTACGGTTGCAGGTGGGAGAAAGGTAGGTAGGTGTTGCTCACGAGTGGGAGAGTCGTTGACGAAGTCAATAAAGTCGTTTGCTTTGGCAACGGCTGCTGAGACCTTGGGAGCCATGTTCGTGCTAGTCGTCGTAGAGAATGGTCGCAGGAATATTCTGGGGAAGGTGGAGCTTAGATGTAGGATGCAGATCGGCCTGGTGGACATTTATCATTCGGGCGGTGGTGATGTCAAGTCGGTATCCGAGGCTGGGGAGCCTTGAAGCTGGGCACTTGAGGATTAGCGCCACGCTCTCGCTTGGGCGGCTGTGCATGTATTTACTTACTGTCTTGTCCGTCCATGTACCTATCTATATCTTCGAGGGCACAGAGGGTCTGTAAGTTGCATGCCTTACCTTTAGTATGTGAGCTTCCTACGAAACCCATTCTTATTTACTTAATCAACTCAATTCTAGTCTAGCTTCCTCATCTCTCTTCACAATTTCGCACTCACCACCGGCCCGATGTGACCACCGATCCATAGGAGGATTCACGTTGGCCGAAAAATGAAAGAAGAAGCTGGCTGCAAGATGAAGTCGCTAGATGTGCAAGGAATATATTCGTGTTACATATATTATGTATTTCGGATGCGCACCGAAATTTTTGACAAGGTGGAAAGAAGTATACTGTCAAGGGAGCGAGCCGAACAATTGATCCTCGGCTGTCCATCCACACGAAGCATGCTACAAAACCACCTCGTGGTATCCTTCTTCCCTAATCATATATGTCTTCGCGAGCAGCTTTCTCCCAGACTGAGAAGCCGTCTTCTCCAGCGAGCTCCGTGCCAGCCACCCATCGGTGCTCGTCCGTCTCGTCGTCATCACCCCAATGCTACGACGCACCCAGCTTGCTCCATCATCGCAAGGACTCGCCGGGTCACAGATCCACCTGTTCTTCTTTGCGACATGCATTTATCCATCAGGTCGTATCTCATTCTCCAGCCATCCATACTGGCACCTCCCAACGAGGGCCCAGGTCTATACTATATACAATGCCATCTTCGGGGGAAAAAAGGAAAAGGAAAAGGAAACCAACAAATCCAGACAGCAGCCAACAGCCAAATGAAAGCGTAGGAAAAAAAAAAAAACTTGGATGAAAGATAGTAAGAATGGTTAGTGTACAGTTGACACGCTTTCAGATGCTGCTTGCTGTTTTCTCGATTGTCGCTTGATGCTCCTTTCCGACATAATGACAACTAGGAAATACATCAGATCATATCCAAATCATATCAAACATTTCAGTCGTCGTCGTCGAGATCTGGGCGACCTCGTTTTGATCGTGCTTGGTTTCGCACAGTGCGTTGTAGCATAGTTTATATAACAAAAGGAGATGGTGTTTTCAATTTCTTGCCTGAGGGAACAGCACGTAGCTGCCCCGCCTCTTGGTGGCGGACCCAGCAGTTGGAGATCTGTCCCGGCCCTGAGCCTCCCGCAGAGGCGCAACGGGTTCTGGAGTTGAACTTTGGCGCTCGTGGGTTAGCGATTGGAACCGAGCTGGCAGATCAGCGAAAGCCTCGGCCACGGGGCTTGGGATTTCCATAGAGTCCTTCTCCTGAGTGTTGGAGTTGCTCATAGCCAGCTGGGTCTCACTGCATCGGAGTCCTTGCTCCAAAACAGTGGACTTGTTGTGATGATGCTGCATAGATGACAGCTGCGGACCAGGGTCCGCAATATCCGAGGTTGGGGCGGATTCGCTCTCTTCGTCTGGGACTGGTAAAGGAAACTTGGTTATGAAATGGTCAAGGTCGATCTGGTGAGCACTCGATGGAATGAGATCTGGGAGAGAAGAGGTTGACGCAGTGCTGCAATGAGCGTGGGTCGGGCTCGATGACCTTCGAAGTGGCATCGCCAAGTCCCGGCTTGCTGCGGACATCGCAGTGCTCGAGGAGCTACGAGCTGAGCAGCGAGAGTAGTCGGAAGAGCGGTAAGAAGTCCTGGGCTGGCTCTCGTCGACAGCAGACACCGGCATGGACACGGCATGCGCAAACGAGTCTTGGGCAAATATTGTTCCATCCGAGGCGTCATTGTATCGCTCAGTGTAGCACACATCTTCGTCCACGTGCGAGTGGAAATCGGCTGGGATGAGCAGCGTAGGTGACAAGTGGAAGCCACAAGAATCCTTGAAAGACTCTCGGCAAGGTGACCGAGTGTGATCTGCACTCAAACAGTTCGAAGGCGTTTGAGGGGAAAAGCAAGAAGATGAACAGTCTGACATGGGGGAAAGTCCAGGGATGTCAGTCGAAGGTATCAAGAGGGAGTCAGTCGATGGCACAGAGAGGGAGGGTCGACATCGTCCGTGATAAGCATGCTCCTCATTTTGCAGACACAGTTGGAGCGGCGGTTGAGCAAGTTCTGAAGCAGGTCTGGTCCGGGTATCCGTGAGAGTATCGCCACCTGCGGAGCTCTGATCCCACTGGTAGTCGCAATGGGCCTCAACCTCGTGCTCGTAGCACCAGTCAATGTCAGACTCCCAGGAGTCGCTGAAATTGAAGCCAAGCGCGGGTTGCGCTGGCTTGAGGCCTGCCGATGGTCTCTTCTGGAGTGACGATAGTCTCAAGGTCGTTGATGTGGATGCCTCTGGCTGGTCGTTGGATAGTTGTTGCGGTCTTCGCCGAAGAGCTGGCACGGATTGAGACAATCTCAGGTCGGCGCTATGGGTCAACATCCAGAACTTCGAGGAAGGATCCTCTTCCTCTTCTAGGACATCAGTGAGCTCACCACTAAGGCTTCCGGAAACTGATGGGCTCAGTGGCCACGCCTCGTCGCCGGGTGTCGTCACTGCATGCGTGCTAGCTTCCAGAGGAAACATAAAGGGCGCTGGCGTTTGGTATCCTCCTTGAGTATGCGGGCGCGTCATGGTTACGGTCGCTAGTGGGTCAACAGCGTTGAAGGGCATAATAGGATTCCGGCTTGATGTTCTAACTGGCAAAGTAACGGGGCAGGTTTGAGACGATGGAGAATGAAGAGATTCAGGGGAGGCGGTTCCCAACCGATCGGGCGAATGAGCCCCCAATGACCATGGATCGGATCGCTGCGATGCTCGAGTTGACTTCCGACGTTGTTGGGTTGTTTGGGTAGAGGGTGATGGAGCTTCTTCGTTGGACATCTGGCCTAGAGTTTCAAAAGAGAAGTTCTCGAAGTGCATGTCGTTGGCCCTGATACCCTTCAACTCGTTGCTTGGTGCTTGGGACGCCCGAATCGCAATGAACTCCGAGGACAGTTCCGTGCAACTGGTTCGGTGCAGGTCAGGAAAGGAGTCCTGTCGGGTGTGCGTCACATGCTGGAAATTATACGGATTGGAGATGGTCTGGTGGCGACGAGAGGAACTACTCTTTTTACCACTGCCGTGTTCCTTTGCTGAGCCCTTCTCTATGACCACATGTTCCTGGCCAGGAGATGGAGAGCTCTGCAAGCTCGCCGTCTGGGTTTCTCTCTTCGTCTTACGCGCGGTTCGAGAAAATATGGTCGAGATGACACTTTCTGGTCTATCACGGCGCACCATAATGCTGGTGCTGGATCGGATGGATGAATGGCGAGACAAGTCTACACTATCTGGTACGAGGCTCGATTGGCGTGAGCGGGACGGAGACGATGTGAATGAGAGAGTGTCGTTCCTTGAATTGTTTCCAAAGAGCGAACTTCTTTTTATCTGCTCCGTGTAGTCGCGAATCCGTGCGGGAGAAGGTGGCGCATCAATCGCAGGTTCGAAAGAGCCCGGCAGCGAGGGAGCTTCTCGCAGTGGCGACGGGGGAGACGTGCTTTTTTTGTTTGTTGACTTTCTGGGTGAAGTGACCTGGTGGATGGCGGGGTACGAAGCCTTCCCACTCCCAAAGGAAAACATCTCGGAGATCCTGCTAATTCCAGGATTGGCAGTTATTGATGTTCAGTGCTCACCATGGGGTATCGAAGAGATATCTATATGAAAGACTCGTATGCAAGGGGGACCCAACAAATACCCGGCTGAAGTTGGTGTATGTTGGAGTATGCTATCGTGTGTCGGTTTCACGAATTCGACACTTTTTGGTGTTTACCAACAGTGGCACGCAATTGCAATCACAATCCCAACTTGAGGCTTTCTGTCAAGAGCTATCGACATGCGAGCTCAAAGCGAGGGGCTTGGATAGTGTCGTTCGGTTCGTCCCGACCAAGGCTGGAAAGAAAGATTCTTTAGTAAACGATATCCTTCCGGTATTGATCGTGCTATGAAATATGTATGAAATATGTATGGCATGGATGCCCATTGCACGACAGATTGGTTCCGGCTGATGACGCTTTCAAGGATGATCGTGTCGAGCTACGAGCAAGGACAAATGGAAACGAAAATCATCCCATATGCGACGAGAATTGAATATATCACAGGATGGAATAGGAAGTTACAACAAAGTTCTTTGCGTACCTCTGATTGAAGAAATCCTTCAACAACACATACAGCTACCATGTAGTAATGCGTGCGAAGTCGAGCTGGAAGTGTCTGACGGAGTCAGGTGTTGAGATGAGCTCCAGGTACTTCCGGCAAGACGAGTAGGCTCCTTGAAGATGCAGGTAGAGAAGTAGATCGATCAGACAGACGAAGGGAGGGAACTCGCGCTCATGCAAAGACGGAAGCAGGAACGGCTTCTCGCGAACGGATCTGCTCCTCGGGTGACGGTCGACATACACGAGAGACTGGCTTAGCGAAAGGGCGACGGGGGATGAAGAGAGAGGTGAGATCAAAGACGAACGAATTCCCGGGACCGGAGACCAAAGGTGGAAGACGGAGGAGAGTTGATATGAGGAATTGGGTTGGAACTGTTGACAAGGTCATTGTCTAATGATTTGGAAGAATTGGCTTGCTGGGGGGGAAGAGGGCAAGGGGGGCTAAGGGGGGCAAGGGGGGCATGGATAGCAGCCTGAGCTGTGCGGACCCTGACCTGAACCGTGCCGCGCCGCGCCGGCCCTCTCCCCTTCCCCCGAACCATGTTCCCAAGAGAGCTGAGCTGGGACGACCATGGCAATTTAGCAAAAGCCTAAAGGCCTAGAGGAGGCTAGAGGGGGCTAGAGGGGGCTAGAGGGGGCTAGAGGGGGGCTAGAGGAGAACGACGTTGAAAGCAACGAATGAGATGCAGCTCTTGACCTCCCGCCCGCTCTCATTCCTAGACGCAGGGCTCGGTGGCTGGCGGACAGAACAATATACTTTGATGTAGGTATACAAATACTACTACTACGTACTAGTTGTAGTAGTATATGTATACAACTCCTTCTATAGATGCATGTCCAGTATTTACGGATGGACGTAGTCGTACAACCTAACACTACGTAGGTCCGTATGTTCGGGGCATCTGGGAATACTCCACTCTGCAGAATTACGACGACAGTGAAATGAATTGCATGGAAGTTGGGGGAGTAAGACGGAAGCCCGTGAATGTCTCAAATGGAGTCTTCTGCACTGACTATGCGGAGGACCGTGGCGAGCACCTACTCTCGTATCTCCTCGTTTTCCGTGGAGCTGTAGTTGCCACGAGCCTCGAGTGGGCACCTCTGGAGCCGCCAGATGGCCAGCTGTGTGGAACTTCCACACACGATAAGCAAGGCAAGCACCCGTCAGACCGCCGTCGAGGTGGATGCGGCGGCGTAGCTGGAGTTGCCGGCAACCTCAACCGTATGGCTGGCTGACCAAGCAGATTGTATTGTGAAGCCCACACGATGGTAGAGTTGGCAAAGTGTACTATTCACATGTCACTCACTCGCTTACTGGGAGCCGAGCACCAGAAGAACGAGACATCAAAGTCGACATCCTTCGAACATTCTCGCTTGCAACTCTTTGGTACGGATCATCAGGGTCCTTTGCTCTCTACCATTGCAATATGGCAGCACAATGCCACAACAGCACAATCGCACATTTGCACAATGGTACAAAGGCACAATGCGTAGCTGATCACTCTACCGTATGAATGCACGCAGGCAGCCTACTGCAGCTGTGCAGAAGCTCCAGGGGGATCTGGTCCCCCTCAAGCATACTAGCAGTTTATAAATAGCCCTGCCTCGTGAGATAAGTGAGAAGCTATCCACTCTTGTAGCGGTGAACCAGCACAGGTTTATTCATCAACTATCGATCATCCAAGCTGCTGCAAAAGCCCAGCGCCCAGAGCCAGAGCCAGAGCCAGAGCCAGAGCCAGAGCCAGAGCCACACGGAATATGCATGCAGCTTCACTCTCCCAGGTTGTAGCTGTATGTGGCCGGTAGCTACCTACTACTACCTCGCTAAGACGGGAAAAACCCCTGGGGAAGGGGAGGCGAAAAAAGGGCGGTGGTTGGTACGTAATGCCCGATGCCCAGAAAGCCAAATTCTCCGTGTACTTACTGTATCTACTGTAGGAGTAACTAGAAGTAGGTAGTAGTAGTTACTACTAGTTCTTGTTCATCTTGCCAATGGCCATGTTCGAAAAGAGTGGAACGCCGACCCGCAGTTGGCTAGGTACTAGTACTACTACGTTGTAGTTCGGGGACTGGCAGCAGACACGGCGGCCTTGCGTGCTCCGAGTCCTCACGATGCCTCTCGCCAGACGATCCTCGGCTAGCCAGCCGGCAACAATATGGAACCGATTCCGAGCTCTCGCTGAGATGGCTGATCCAACTCCCAGATGGAGGATACAGCTTCATCGATCGACCTTTTTCTCCTTCTACATACGACTTAGTTGCACCTATTCCAAATGAGCCGATGAGAGGGAGGGGCCTGAACGATGGCGAGAGGCTGGTACTACCGGTACCGGTACCGGGAGGGACTGGCTGACTGCCGTCTGGAATCAAGAGCTTCCTGCTGAGGAGGAGTCTTCCTCCCGTGGTAGTCGTGGTAGTATAAGCAGATTATGGAGAACATGGAGAACAATGTGAAATTCAATTGCGCATCGACTGCCGAGTCATCCAATGGCCATCGGAGCTTGCCATTGATTTTCCCTCCTCGCCCAGAGCTCCGTTGTTCCCTCCCTCTGTCTTTTTCGTATACGGCGATTTCCGACCCTTCTGCAGGCCGGCAAGGCAGGTTGCATGCAAGTCCAGTTAGTGCAGTTAGTGCAGTGCAGTGCAGACAAAGTGCAGACAAAGTGCACGACGGCTGCTGTGCGGTGCACAGGACAGCTTGGCTGAAGATCCTCAATCATAACCACCGTCTGTTGAAGCTTGGATGCAGGTGCATCAGAGGAAGCAGGGGAAATAAGAAGTCGGAAGGAAGTTACTTTACTTTAAGCTGGACGTTGCGATACGTAATCCCTCGTGTGGTAGTAGTACAGGTACAGTATGTGAGAGCACTTCCTTGCCCGTGCGGATGCCCGCCCTGACTGCCCTGACTGCCCTCCCTGACTGCCCCGACTGTCCAACGGAGAGGCAGTACAGAATGCCCTTGGGTGGGTTTGATCCGGCAACTGACACTTGATCGACCTCCATGACCTCCATCACAATAGCCTTGGTCACTCGCAACCCACCCTACCTACCGTACATAAAACCTGGGAACATCTACTCGGAACCGACCGCCCATTCATCGCAGTGAGGATCGCCTGCTTTCCCATGAAACATCCTGTATTGTCATACAATTGTGATACTCGACAATATAATATAGTCGCCGGCTCTTCTTCTTCTTCTTCTTCCTCTTCTTCTTCTTGCTTGACAGGCTGTCGGTGGTGGCTGGCCCGCTCTCTCTGTTTCTTCTTGATAGACTTCCCGGCGTTGTGGGCGACCATAACCTTGCATGATCATTCCTACTCCTTGACGGCTTCTCGCTTTTACTACGTAGTAGTACTACGTACTTCTCAGAACCCTGGGATGTCCAAGTTTTGTTGCATATCGCGACACATCTCACAGTGCTCCCGGGTAAAGGCAGTATAGCTCCGTCGACTTCTATACTCCGCCTGATCCTAGAGAAAACTCTCCCCGGTGGAACCATGGCAACGCCCTCCGCAGATGTCATTACGGTAGCAGCGAGTCACCTTGAAGAAGAAGGCGGAGGATCAATACTGTAGGGAGTAGGGATCCTCCGCCCCTCTATGGTATAAACTCTGATACCTTCTTTTAGTTTAGACGAAACGCTAAAACTGATATAGCGGTGGATATCCGTCTGCACCAGAATGAATCGCTCGAAGCATCTGGTAAGGCGGCCTTTGTGTCCTGGAGTAGGTAGAAGGGTAAGCATATACGTAGTACGTAGTACGGGCGACCCAAAGCGAGCTCTTTACTTGGTCACCTCGCTGTCCCTTGGCCCACGACACTCGAGCCGCGGCGTCCAGCTCCTCTGAGTATGAGTACTCAGTCGCAACAAGAACGCGATAGCCGCGACAGGCTGTGCTTTGTGCTTTGTGCTTTGTGCTTCCTGCTTCCCGCTTCCTGCTTCCCGCTTCCTGCTTCCTCATCACTGACGGAGTGATGGGAAGCAAAGCCGGAAAGCTCCCGCCGCTGGCAGATCGCTGGCAGATTGAAACGCCTTCTCTCTACCTGACATCGGAGAAGCAGCTGAACATCAACACCAAACAAAAACATATGTATGATATGTCGTCCGAAACGTAGATGTTCCAGCGAAACAGATCCGCCCTCCCCGTCCCTTCCGGACCCCTGTGCCAACGATCGTCGATCTCTTCTCTTTTCATCCCATCCCATGCCGGCACCAAAACATCCAGCCCTACGGAGTACAACAATGAACCATATAGCCGGAATCACCTCTCGTCCAGTAGTAAGTACTAGTAGTAGTACTACGTACCACGTACCACGTACCACGGTACAGGCCTAAGTATTCCCCCTCGAGGGTGCGTCAAAAGTTTAGATTCCACTTCCACCCCCCTGCTTACCCTACCCTCAAGGAATAATACTTAGGCCTGGGACGTACGTAGTAGTCGAAGTAGTAGGACCGTACTGGGAAAACCCACTGACTACCCAGGAGTCTGTTCATCTCACCACAGTGGACCTCAGACTTCAATACCGAGACTGAGGGAGGACCCGCTCGCACGAGTCCTTGCGCATTATTATTTCTTTCTTTCCTTGCGGTGGAGAGCTCCCCGTCGCTGTGGCACTCCATGATTCGTGGCCTCGCGACCCTCTGGATCCGACCATTGTTCAATCGATATCTGAGCTGAATCCTCCCAGACCCTCTTCCCCCGTATCGTACTGTCGGACGTAGGACGCAGGACGCAGGACGCAGGACGTACTAGTAGGACGTGGTAGTAGTAGATGGCGCTCAGCAATTACGAAACATCAGATTAGACTTCCTTCGCTCCGATCCCCTCTCTCAGGAGGATTGTCCCAATCTTTTTTCCCTCCACACTGTCCTTCGCAGCTTGTCGGTGAAGAGAACAGGAGCAAGGGGAAAAGCGGCTGGCGGCTGGCGACTGGCGGCTTTGTCCCGGGGCAGCTGCTACCACGGACGGTACAGGTACAGGCAGGCGTAAGTAATTGTTACCCCGCGAGGGTGCCTCCAAGGTCGGTACGTACGTAGTAGTAGTTTCTACTAGAAAAACCCCTTGGTTACCCTGCCCTCGGGGGGTAATACTTACGCCTGGACCTGGGACGTCTGTCGTATGTAGTACTGTAGTAGTACGTAGTAGCTAGCCACGCTGCGTACGTACGTACCGGTAGTAGTAGGAGGAGGAGGAGGAGGAGCACGTCGTGCATGCAACGCCGTTCGGATCAATGAATGGTCTGGGCATTCCATTCCATTCCATTCCGCCTTCGCAACGGCCGTCTCGCACCCTACGTACCGATTCGCGCAGCCGTAGCCCTTCCCCTCCCCCCCAGGGCAATAGCATAGAATAAAAACCACCCAAGAAAAAACCCAAAGATTTTTTTTTTCTTTCTTTTTTTCATTTTTTTCCAAAAAAGGAGGAGGAGAGAGAAGCGATGTTGGGGTTGGGATTGGGAATGACTGACTGATTGGTTGGTACACGTCCCGCGGCGGGTAAAGTAAAGTGACCACCAAAACCCCGCTGGCTGCCCCTGTCCCGCTCCTCCACATTCCCAACCAAAAAAAAAAAGGGTTCCCTACGGGTTTTTCTTCCAATCGCAACCGAGAAGCGAGATCGAGATCGAAATCGAAACAAAAACAAAGACAAAGACAGAGACAGAAAAGACAAGAGATAAAAGTACAAAGTACAAAGTAAAAAAAGTATAAAAGTACAAAGTAAAAAAGTAAAAAAAGTAAAAAGGAAAAAGGAAAAAGGAATTTTCGCGCTCCACAAGCGAGGCTTACCCCACAAGCGAGACTTAACCTCCCACCCAATCGCAACCTCGCAGCGCAGCGCAGCGCGACCCTGCTAGCACCTAGGTAGGTACCGTACCTACTACTTACAAGGTACTATTGATACAGTATTGAACAGACGAACAAACCCTTGGCCGAGGACCACGTCCCACGCACGTACTACGTACAAGTAGGTAAGTAGGTAGGTAGCAGATCACTAGTAGATCACCAGCAGATCACTAGCAGATCACTAGTTTTTAATAACGCACACAGCGCAGCGAATAGGTACTAATTAGTACTCGTACCGGTAGCGGTAGCGGTAGTCTCCGCAGTATGGTTCCGGCCGGATGGGATCCCAGCCGCATCATTCATTTACTACGTACTACGTGTCTTGCGGGATGGTACGAGAGCGACGCAGAGATACTACGACCTACCTACCTTACAGTACCATGAATGAATGGAATGAATAAATGGATGGATGATGAATGGATGGATGAATGGATGCCCGACAAGGTCTGTCTTCGGAGATGGCCTCCGCGGTGTCCGCCGCAGATCGAGGGTGCGCTCTTAGAGGGTACTCGGTATGGATGGAGGATAGGTAGGTGCGGCTAGGTTGTTAGCTAGCTAGGTTGCTAGCTGGCTAGCTGGCTAGTCTAGTAGGTAGGAGGTACCGTAGTATATAGTACTAGTATATAGTACTAGTATATACGTAGTAGTAGTGTGTAATTAGGTCAGGGTCCATGTTCGTTTTAATCTCGCATGGAGGGGGAGATTACGTTGTGGAAATTGAAAGCTTGCTTGCTCTGCGGTGGGTAGGTAGGTAGGCAGGTAGCTACTAGGTAGGTAGCTACTAGGTAGGTACTACGAGCTAGGTCCAGTACGAGGTAGGTAGGTAAGGTAGGTAAGGTACCTAGACTAGTAACTGCTATAACCGTCGAACCGGGGCGCGGCGATCTATCGAATCGGATTGGAAAGAAAGAGAAGAGAAGAGAAGAGAAGAGGAGAGAAACGCACTCGATTGATTCGGCGGACATGTGGCGATACCTGTCAATCTAACAAAGTACGTAGTAGTACCGGTAGAAGGCTCTTTCTTACCCAGGCCGCAAGCAATGTACTACGTACTACGTAGTAGTAAGTGAACGAATGAATGGCAGACCAGCCAGGGGAGAGCGGCAGAGGAGCAGGGGAGAAAGAAAGCAGGGAGCATGTCGACGTCTCGAGCTAGCGGCTCTTCTTTCTTTCCTTTCATCTTCATCTTCTTCTTCTCCTCCATCATCTCCTTCTCCTTCCTCTTCTACGTCCGTGAGTCGATCCGCGGGAGCGCCGCCGCCGCCGCCCCTCTCTCGTTCCGCTGGCTTGGCTTGGCGTGGCGTGGCTTGACAGGTACCGTACCATTCCATCTTCCCACACGACCGACCAATCATCTCCCATGCACATACATACATACACACATGCATATATGCATACCTATACATATATAGAAAAAAAAAAAAAAATCCTCCTCCTCCTCCTCCGTCAGCCTCCCTCTCCTTTCAGCTAGTCAGAGTAAATACCGGTACCTACTGAGTACCAAGTGAGCACATGAGCCTGCAGCCTGCATCCCCAATCCCTCCTCTCCTCTCCCAACCTCCTCCCCCCACCAATGTTTTTGTTTTTTTTCTTCTTCCTTTTTTTCCTCTTCCATCTTAGCTCAACCCACCTATCGGGGAACTAGGAAAAAAAACATCCCACGCCACGCGGGAAGATACGTACGTAGTACGTAGTACGTACGTCGTACCTAGTCCTTGCTGTCTGTTGGTGATCGACAGAGGACGCGGCGACGGGGAGCGTCTGGCATCTGGCATCTGGCATCTGCAGTGGGCAGCCAGTCGCGTGGATCCGATCCGATCCTGCTTTAGAGGTTATGCAGTGTCTAGGGGGAGGGGGGGGCGGCTCACTTCCGGGAGGGCGGATCTACTACTTACGACCTATGAGTTAGTTGTACGAGGAGAGGGGGGTGGTGGTGTTTTTGTTTTCGTTGGGAGAGGGGAGGGGAAGGTGAGTGAGTGTGTGAGTGTGTGTGTATGTGTGTGTCTGATGATGCGTTGGGACCGGAGATATGTGATGTGACGTGATGTGATGCGATATGGTGCTGTACGGTATAAAATGCGAGAGGAAGTCTTGTTAGTTAGGTACCTAGGTATATACTAGGCAGGTAGGTAAGGTATATGCTAGGCGGTTAGTACATGTTAGGCAGGTATATATCAGGTCGTTATATGTTAGGTACTGTACAGTCTGTATATTTGAGGTACCCAGGATATACAACAATAACGCAGATCATTATTGGCCCTTAACGACATCGGTACGTACGTAGTACCGGTATGTGAGCAGTAAAAGTAGAAAGAGAGAAGGAGAAGCACAAAAAGCCCCTTCTTTCTCGCCGAACGAGGCTCATCTTTCTACGGGGTGGTTTGACGCCCACCCGATGGACGCTAGCGAGAGGAAATATAGAGAGCGATCAGGGAAAGGGGGCCGAAGGGCTGCTACCAGTACCCTTACCGGTACTTGTATGAATGCTATATCGAAGAAGGAACAAGCAAAATGTTTCCCGCTGGTTAACAGTTTACTTACTCGCTCTCTTCCGAAAGAGCTGGAGCTGGAGAGGAGTAAGAGGTAAGTAAGAACGGTCTTGGGGCGCAGACTAGACTTTCTTACTTTTCTACGTGTTTCCTCTTTTGGCATGGCATACGATAACCTCCCTTGTATGGATAAGAGCAGTAGTTGAAGAATACTTTGCTGTGGAGAGAGATTTCCTTCAAAAGATGTATGTATGTATGTACCTTATGGTATGCGGATCGGAACCCACCAGGTCTTCGAATTGCAAGGAACAAAATGACATCTGGCCTTGTCGGCCGTTGCATTTGTAGCATCTAGGTATCTATCTATCTATCTATCTACCTACCTATCTATCTATCAGCTGTGTGGACATGCATATATACAGATTTACAGCCCGCCGGCCCAGCCTAACCCTCTGACCCCACCGTTTGCTACCACCACTTGCCGCATTCGGAACTGCACAAACGAGGTAGCCGAACAAACAAGGTAGCCGAGCGCTCTCCCCAACCAATGTTTGTACCTACACAAGACCCAACCTGAAAATTACGAGCAAACCTCACCCACCCACCCACCACCTCATTCCCCTCAACCCCCCCCTCCCCACTTCGTACACCTGTAAACACAGCGCCAACACCGTGCTACACGGAAAGCAACACGCCAGAACCGCACAGGACAGGACAGGACAGGACAGCTTCTACCAGCCCACCTATCTACCTACCTAGACCTCTACAGCACCCACGAACAGAGAATCATCAATTCCCGGCACCCAGGCACCCAGGCACCCAAAAACCAAAGGACCAAGGGCCACGCAAGGTAAACACAGCAGGATTCCCCACCACGCACCTCTGATCTCTGAAGAAGAAAATTTACCCACTCGCTTAGCCTTCCACACGAGGCGTGAGGAAAAACAGGAAGGGGGTAGACAGCGATATCGAGTCACAGGCAATGAAAGCTACGTGTCGATGCGAGGAGCAAAGGAAGGGGAGAGCGACAACAGCCGTACCAGAACGAACAGAGAAGGGGTCGGATCACATGAGGGAGGGCCGTGGTGGCCGTGATGGAAGGGGAAGGTGCGAGAAGCCCTGGGCTTGGCGGTGGCATGTGACGGTGGCATGTGCACACCCGCGGTTCCCGTAAGGAACCGCCACAACCATGAGAGCAGATACCAGACATTACTAACACTACAAACCACCTGATCAGTCTAGACTATCAACCACCTGTGTAACCAACAGAAGGGGGGGGGGGGAAAAAAAGAGCTATATTCAACTCCTCGTATGGTACACTCCATCACCATGCCAGACCCCCAGATAGATCCCCCCCCTCTGATATTTTACACCAAATGTACAACCCAACCCGACCCTCCCGTTCCCAACCCAATGAATCCGGGCCCGTAGGAGAAAAAGAATGAGGAAGAAGAAAAAAAAAAAAAATCGAGCAGGACACTGTGCTGTGAGCCTTCTTCAGTCCTTGTTCGACTTTCAAGATGCAGTCTGTCTGTACTGTCGGTCGCAGGCAAATCCCTCTTGACTCGAAAACCGCGTTCGCATGGTGGCGCTCTTTACAGCCCTCAAAAGCAGGTAGAACCAGCCGCCCTTCTATTCGTCATCCGAATCCGCCATGGGGGTATCATTAGCGTCACCATTCGCAGTCGCCGAAGAATCGTCCTTCGCCGGCGCGGGAGCATCTTCAGCGTCCTTCCCCTCCTCATCCGAATCATCAGAGTCAATCATAGCCCGCCGATTCTTGCGTTTCGAGGCAGGCGCAGCTACCGTCTCCTCGTCGCTGGGAGCATCAACATCCATATTCTGCTCCTCGCCAAATGTATCGCTCTCCATAGCCTTTGCCGCCTCAGCCGCTCCGTCGTCCCCCTCGCTGTCGCTCTCCACCACAATCTCGCTGCTCTTGAACTTGCTGGGTTTCTCCAGGGCAGGCTTCTTCGCCAACCTCCGCTTCTTGTTCTTGGGCTTCTCTTCATCAGTGTCAGCGCCGCTTGCTTTGCGGCTTTTCCTCCGAGGCTCGACCCCACTCTCGTCGTCTTCCGTGATGCCGTCTTCGGTCTTCTTCTTGCGCTTGCCACCTGCGGCGCGACTCGGCTTCTTTTTGCGTTTCACTTTGTCGCCCGTCTCGCTGTCTGTGGTCATCTCGGCAGCTTCACGAGCACGTTGCTCCTCGTTTCGAGCCTCAGCAAGCTCACGGTCCCGCTCCGCAATCTTCTGCCGCTCTTCAGCAATCTTGGATTTCCTCGCACGCTCAGCCTCTTCGGCAGCAATTCGCACATCTTCGCGTTTCTTCTGCTCCAACTCTCTAGCTCGCTTCGCAGCTAGTATTCTCTCAGCGTGCTTCTCCTCGTACTCCTTCTGGGCTTGGATCGAGCGTTCCAGTTGCTTTCGCATGGTGTTTCGTGCCATGTTGGCCCGCTGCTCGACCTCGTGCTTAGGGTAAGGTGTTTGAGGGTCTCGGGCAATAATTTCTAGAGACTCGATAGCCTCCTCGAGCCCTGTAGCCGCAGCTTGAAGCTCGGCTAACGATCTCTGCGACTCGGCCAGATTGTAAACGTTCGTAGCAAGTTGAATTTGCACGAAAGCAATATTGAACTTGAAGTGGATCTGGTCGGGTGCAACCTCCAAAGCCTGTACTGTGTTAGTTTGAATTGTGTTTCCTTGGAGCAGGTACTGACCTTCTGAGAAAATTCTAAAGCCTTCGCGAATGCCGTAGCGTTCTTCTCGGCCTTGCCTTTAGCTAACCACGTTCGGCCCAAGCAAGCAAGAATCTGTGCATCCTTTTGGCGGTCCTTCAACAAAGCCTGCTCGTAGTGCTCAATAGCCTTCGAGTACTGTCGCAACTCTGCAAAGATGTGGCCAAGGTTGATATACACACTCGGATCCTTGACTGTATCTCTGACCGAGACGAAGATGGACAGGGCGGTTTTGAAGTCCTTCTTGTCTTCTACCAAAGCAATGGCGATACCTTGGGCGGCGTAGGCGTTTTTCGGGTCCAGTTGTAACGCCTTCTCGAAGAACTCGACAGCCTTGGTGTACATTCCACTTCGCTTTTGCTTCTCTTGATCCGTCTCGCGACGCATCTCGCGGGCAGTGATCAGGTAGAGATTTCCCATACCAATCAAAGCATAGCGATCATGCTTCTCGTAGTTCTGTAACGTGTGTTTGTAATGCCGAAGCTCGGGATCCTCGGCAATGTTGGCGCGCTTCCGAGTATGCAGCTTACCCAGGTACCAGCCATAGAGTGCTCGCACCTCGAGGTCAGCCGAGGAATCTTGATAGAGCTTACTGATAGCTTTGGGTCCCTCGTCTGTCGGATTTTGACGCAGAGCAATGTATGCAAGTCGGGTCCTCGCATCCGTGTAATCGCTATGGCGTTCGAGAAGGCCTTCGTAGACGGTGTTTGCTTCACCAAGAAGTCCACTAGCCTCGTAGGTCCGTCCGAGGTTGTAGCTGATAGTGGTGACGAGAGCATCGGTATCAATTTCCTCTTGCTTCTCCCCAGCCTTAACACAAGCGCTCAGCGCCACCTGGAACATTTCTCGTGCCATTTCAAACTTCTCGCCCTGGTAGTAGAAGCATCCGATGTTGTTGAGTAGCTGAGGCGGAAGACCTTCCCGCATGCTGTTCTTGAACGCAGCTTCGTCGCCATTGTCTGTCGGTCTCTCGCTCTGGGGGATCTGGTCAAATTCCAGTTGCTCCACTTGCTGTAAGCAGTGCAAACTCTTGTCTGGTTGGTCGCCTTCGTAGAGACGCGCTAGATTCAGAAGAACGGAGGCATCGGGCATCAGATTCTTCTTGGAGTCCTTCCACGCCGTTCGGACGCTCTCAAGGTATCCGACGGCCTTCTTCCACTCGAGTGACTTCTCCTCCTTGGGCCCATTTGTGGGATTTTGAAATACCTCTTCAGCGTAAAGGGTGCCAAGAAGAATCATGGCCTCCGCATTCTTGGATTGCTGTATCATCTTCTCCAGTCTCAGTTTTGCCTCTCCGAAGTCACCCTTCAGTACTGAAAGCTGAGCGGCGCCGAACTTAGCGGGGAGGTAGCCACGATCGGCTCCACCTCTTGCTTCATCCGCCCGTCTGTAGTAGTCTGCAGCTTTATCGTAGTCCTCTTCGTAGTGTTCCTTTCGGGCCAGAAGATACCATCCATCGCTTGCAATAGCATTGACGTCCGTGTATTGAATGGCCTTGTGGGACAACGTCTCAACACTCGGTAGGGACTTCCTCGACAAAAAGTACCCAGCAAACGTAGCACAAGTCAATGGAAGATTCTTGTCAGCTTTGAAAGCCTTCTGTGTGTATTCCGTCATGGCCTTCTTGTACAATTGCATGAACTCTGGCCCATTCGTAGGAACGTGGGCGCTAGCATCGAGGTAGAAAAGGCCGAGAAGAATGTTCGCAATCTTGGAATCTGGGTTGATCTCTAAAGCTCGCTCCCAAGCTACTTTCGCATCTTGCTTGTATCCAAGCATCCAGAAACAGCAGCCAATTCCAATTCGTGGATCGGGGTCTACCAAATCCGGCATTTTGTATAGGGCATCTTGATAACCTTCCAAAGATTCCGCGTATTTCCCGAGCGAGAAGAGTGCCCTAGATTTCCCCAATACTGCCATCATATTCCTTCCTTGAGAGGCGCGAATTGCATCTTCAAAAGACTTGGCCGACGCGCGCAGAATGTCTGCCTTCTCTGGGTCCAGGGCACCAGGTGCCGAGGATTTCGAAGGTGGCTGTAGGGAAGCCTTCAGTAGTTGTAGAACACCGCGTGCCAGAAAGAGGGGAGGAAATCCGGGATTGATACGTAGTGCCTCGTTTAGAGTCTGTGTCGAAAGGTTCAGATAGTATTCCTTCGTCTTTGCCTCCGAACTTAATGAACCTTCCGGCGCAACCCGAGGAGCCTCCCTGCTCTTCCACAAGTACATCCAGCACAGGCAGGTAAGCATACTGAGCTTCTCCTTCGGCCCGCCCTTCATAGCTTGTCCACCCTTGAGCAGCATTTCGATTGCGTGGTCGACCTTCTTCTGCTTCGCATATGCTAGGGAGACCGTCATCCAGTAGGTGCGCGCCGCGCCTTCATTTTCTAGCAGAGTGCACAGTTCCGTCGGGTCGTCCAGAAGATCCTCGAGGTCTATCTCAACGGCCTGGTCATCATCTTCTCCTTGAACGGGAATATCGATTGCCGAGGGGATGTCCGAGAATCGTTTGCTCATCACTCTGTGCCCAGCAGACTCAGAATTATGCCCATTTGCTACCCCATTGGTAGACCCATTCTCAACAGCCGCCATTATTGATTTGTCTAGGTATGCGCTTCCTCGAAAGAGTCGTATAGTCGCGCAGTCGGGTTTGAGGCGCGTCGGGGCGCAAGTGCTTTTGACCGAGACTAAAGGAGGAAAGTCGCTAGGAGCGATGTGACATCTGACTAAGCAAAAAAGTCGACCAGAATTATAGAACCGATACCTGAGCCCAAATTAATCTGGTAAGAAGGCTGGTCGTAATGGTGAGGCTGCCGACAAATTGTCAAGGCACACAAGTCGCGCTAAGTCCGGGTACGCTAATCCGTTTAGGATCAACAGCGCCATGAAAGGTGAGCACGTGATGAGGGTACCTTAGCTTGTAGCGTCTGGGGGTCTGAAAATGCTAAGACTACCGGTACCTGAGACGCTGGCTTAAAACTTGGGTATCTATCGCAGACTATTCAATACTTTCAATAGCAATGCTGTACATTTATCCAAGTTGCATTACGTGACTGTCAGTTTTGCCATTCGAATTTGTGCTTGGACCCGATTACCGGCATCTGTTTCCCACCGCGTTAAAAAGAATGGCATTGAAATCGAGTAAAGTTGAAAATTGACCAAGCAAGCGAATCTCTGCAAAGATTACACGGATATATCTTTCAGGATGCCGTAATTCATACACCGCCACTGTTTCTCTATCAAAGTACAATCTAGGCAGTCTTCGCCCAAAAGTAGGTGTCCATCGATCAAGAGATAAATTTTCTCTCCAAATGTTATTGCTCGCGCAACGCCTATGACCCCAGCACAACCGTTCAGCCGCCAGGCCAGTAACCCGCAAGCAAATGCAAACTCCATCCCAGACGCAACATCGTAACTACAGAGCCGTTGTTTCCAAACGCCAATGCCGACCCTATTCATCATCACTGTGTAGACCACCACCACCACCACCATTTGTTGCAGATGCGTTCTTGTTGTAGCTGAGTTTGAGCTTTCCGTTAGAAGAGGCTGGATTCGGGGTTCCAGCATTTGTCGTGGGGGCAGAGCTATCGCCCTCGCCAAGTTCGGGGTGCGCACTCATCTCGTCGCGGATGATGCCTTCAAAGCTATTCTAGTAGATATAAGCAAATGCCAGCAATCCAGATAGAGACAACATGACTTACTTCGATTTTGACCGCCATTTTGAAAATTGGGCTTCCGTCCTCGTTGTATTGTCTTGCATTCCGACACATCAACCGAATGTCCGCCATCATGTCGCCAAGACTGGAGTACTCCTCTTTCTTGATCTTCTTTTCGATATTCTTCAAGGCAATTGGTTCCTTGATCAGCATGTAGTAATCGGGAAAGTCTTTCTTTCCCACCAGCACACGGAAGGGTTCGACGAGGGGGTAGGTCAGTGGAGCTGAATCTTCGTCGCTATCGTCAGATAAAGGATCATCTGTATGCGGGATCTCTAACAAGGCATCGTAGGCCCTACGGAGACTGCCTTGAAGAAGAGTTCGGTGCGCAATACTCATAGCTGGCACTGCACCCTTAGAGGTTCGACCATTGGCTGCGCGCTTTCGCTTTGGAGGAGGTTCGTCGTCAAGATCGTCAGCCTTACGCTTATCGTTTTTCACGACTTTGTTTCGGCCTCGTCCCTTCTTGGGGGTAGGCTCAGGCTCAGGTTCTTCGGTACTCTCGCGGCTGCCATTTGGCGAATTCTCAATGGAACCTGGAAGCTCTCCGGCTCTCTTGAGACGATTGTTCTCACGACGGTCCTTCCGAGCTTGCTTGCGAGCGGCAGCAGCTTCTGGAGAATCTTCGTCGTCATCCACTGCTTGGAGCCATTGCTCCTCAGTAAGTCCATCATCGTACTTGACCCGAGTTCGCTCACGAGCACCACGGCCCTTGACCTCCTCTGGCTCGTCCGAGATGGGATTACCGTCAGACATGTAGATTTCGGGAAGCTCGCTTTCGGCCATAAGACGTGGGATACGCTTACTTCCAGCCGCGGTGCCGTATGTAAGATCCTTGGCTCTCTCCATGTCAATCTTTTTGAAAATCTCGAGCTCGGCATCTGAGCGTGCCAAGATCATGTTGAGATCCTCATCGTCCATTTCCTCTTGCTCCAATGCCTCCGCAGCTTCCGCAGTCTCCAACATGACACGCAGCATAGCATCACGATCAGTCTCGGAAGATTTGTTATCGAACCGACCAGCCTGAATAACTTTGCCATCCATGTCAAGCTTGAATTTGGCGCGCTCCAAGATCTTCTCTTCGACTGAGTTAGAACTAATGAGTCGCAGAATACGAACTTCGTTCTTTTGGCCGATACGATGAGCACGATCTTGAGCTTGTAAATCCTGATGAGGATTCCAATCCGAGTCATAGATAATGACCGTGTCGGCGGTCTGCAAATTCAAACCAAGACCACCGGCACGCGTCGATAGCAAAAATATGAAGTATGGCGAGTCGGAAGCATTGAATTCACGGAGAAGGTCGGAACGATCATCGGATTTCGTGGTACCATCCAAACGCATAAACACAATACCACGGTACCGCAAAAAGTCTTCCATAATGTCCATGATAGCCGTCATTTGAAAGAACATGAGAACTCTGTGACCGGTCGCCTGGTACTTAGGTAGGATGCGGTCAAGAAGCTCAAATTTGCCAGCTGTTCTCCAAAGTAAATCGTTGCTTGTGTTGAGAGGGTTCATCTGGTTTTCAACCTCATCGAATACGAAGGGATGATTGCAAAGCTTTCGGAGTTGCATGATCATGTTGCTCAGGCCACGAGCACCTGTCTTGCCTCCCTTGCCATCGCTAACGACAAGCTTGTTGTGGGTAACCATTTGCTTGTAAAGACGAGCCTGAAGAGAAGAGAACTTGCATTTGATGACCTTTTCGGTTTTGTCGGGAAGGTCTTTCTCGACATCCTTCTTGAGACGACGAAGCAAGAATGGCCGCAGGACCTTGTGGAGACGACGGATCACGAGGATTTGTTCTTCTTCCGTCAACTCCATCTTGTCTTGACCACCCGTATTGGCAAATGGTGTGTTGAACCATTCGTCAAAAGACTTGACAGACTTGAAGATAGTCGGGAGAACAAAGTTGAGAAGAGCCCACAGCTCAGGCAAGTTGTTTTGCAGTGGTGTTCCGGTAAGAATGAGACGGTACCGAGTGTTGTAGTATTGTGTAAGGGTGGCGCTGAGTTTCGATGAGGCATTCTTCATACGATGACCTTCATCAATAATCATGTGGACCCACTTGATCTTGCTCAGTACTGGTCTGTCCTTGATAATGTACTCATAAGTTGTCAGCAGAACTTGGAACTGGCCATAGCGGAGCTGTGCCTGCTGTTGCTTTCGAGCGTTTGGTGGTCCCTTGTAGACAACTTTGCCGAGGGCTGGTGCCCACTTTTCGAATTCCAGATTCCAATTGGTCAAGGTACTAAGAGGAACGATGACAAGGAAGGGGCCGTTCTGCTTCTTCACTTCGACCAAGTAGGTGAGCAAACTAATGGTCTGGATAGTCTTTCCAAGTCCCATTTCATCTGCAAGAATACCATTCAGGTTATTGTTGTAGAGCGAGATCATCCACTGAAGACCCTTCAGTTGGTATTCTTTCAAGGTACCACCCACCAAAATGGAAGGCTGCTTGTGCACCTCCTCCTTGATGCGATGTGCGACGGCATAGTAGTCGATTTTACGGACATCCTGCTCCTCATCTTCCTCATCGTCGTCGGACTCTTCTTCGGCGAACTCGTCTGCATTATTACCATAGCGCTCGGCAGCCTTTCTCTGTTGCTCCTTGACAGACGATGCAAGTTGTGACAAGAACCCATCGGTTTGCCGAAGAAGGTGAGTGATACGAGTATCCTTTGCCTGGTCGAGCAACTTCAGGTACGCCTCCTCGTCGTTGGATTTCAAGGCTTGCAGACGTTGCTTGGCGGTTCGCTCGATTCTCTTCAGCTCTTCCTTCTCGATGTTCTGGTGTTGTTGTTGCATCATGGCACCGAATTTCGCGATCTTCTTTCTCTGATTGAAAGCAGCATTGTTGATTTCACGGGCATGGTTGACGACATGTGTAAGATAGTCCACGTGCTTTTTCTTCTCGCGGCTTTCCCGAGCGTCGCGTTGCTGCTTCTCGAGCTTTTCCGTAATGCGAGCTTCGCGTAAAGTCTGCTTCTTCATTCGGCGGTAGTTGGTACGATTGGCAGTCATGGCAAGGTTGTCGTATTGAATCATTTGACGACCAACCTTTTCCCGCATGATGCGCTGCTTCTGATAGAGACCCAGCATCTTCATCTCGATCAAAGCTTTGACCTTCACAGAGTCCTCGAGAGTCAGCTCATCGTTCCGGGTATCCAAATGGGCTATGTTGCCAGGAAGGCTTCTGAGTTCCTCCAATCTGGCTACCATGCGATTATGGATGATCACCTCTCTGTCTCGGCGAGCCTTTTCGATATCGACACCAGACGGCATTATACTGGGAATCAGGGGACGTGCGTCACGGTTCTTATGGCTAGAGTAATCGAGCCTGTCCTTGAGTAGGGATCGCGGGTTCTCAAATCCAGTGTATTCGTGTAACTTGGGTCCGACAAGTTGCTTCGAGCCTGAAGCCCCCTCTACCCCATTCGTCGAAGGCGCATCGTCCTTTCTCGGGGCCAGTCCTTCGAGGGAACTGTCATAGTGTACAATAGCCTTCTTTTGGGATGCGAAGAGCTGTTGTTGCACACTTTGCGGAATGCCCTGGTTCTTCGACAAGCACTTGAAAGCGAATATTTGCTGTTTGAGAAGACCAAGTTGTTCTGGCGAGAAGTAGCCCCCACCACCTCCAGGTGCTGTTCTTTGAACACCTCCTTTTTGTGCAGACGTGAGCGGGGCTGTCGTGGGGATGGCAGATGGACCCAAAGCCGTACTTGTCGGAGCTTGTGTGGAGGGTTGGGAGGTGGAAGATGCGGGAGCAGTTAGTGTACCGTTGGTTCCATTTGCTGCGGAGCTGGTGGTGTTTTGCATCTGCTGTTGCTGCTGCTGCTGTTGATGCTGTTGATGCTGCTGCTGTTGCTGCTGCTGCTGGTGGGCGAACTGCATGCGCCGTTGTTGGTACACCTGCGCCTGTTGCATAGTAGTGAGGATTTTGTGGACCTGTACGAATTCGGGGTCCTTCTCCGACACGCCTGCCTCCTTCATCTGCTTGTATTTCTTGAACCAGTTAGCTTACGCTGGCAAGCATTACTGGGTATCATAAGGTAGTATTATACCTGCAGGTAATTCTTCATAGCCTCTTGGTTCGGTGGCGCCATTGGGGCCCCAGGTTGCTGGACAGCTGGCGCATTCTGAATGGAAGCCATGCTTGCAGTATCGACGGCTGTTGACCGGCAATGGCTTTCGTAGGCGTGCTGGTCAGGTTCGGCGCATCAGGAGCCAGCGTTGCGCATCAGATTTGCTGCTGTGGCGGACGGGACTGGACTGGAAGTGAATGAGTGAGTGAGCGAGGGGTTTGTATGTAAGTACGGTCCAGGCGATGGCGTCGTGGGTCTGAGGAAAATGGGGCGCGCAAGAGCTCGAGTCGGCGCGCGATCGAATGGCGGAACGCGTACGGTGCTGTGTTCGATGACTTTTTGGCAGATGTAGATGCACCGAGCTTTGCGCAAAGTTCCTGTGTCGTTCGACTATGGATGGGCGGTAGACAAGCGTCACAGGTCGTAACTGGGAGTGGCGTAGAATCCGATTGAACGGGTGTGGATGCAAAACGCGTCGAGTTGGAGGCGTTGAGGGTTGAGGTCCTGGATAGCTGGATGCGAAGGACGGGGGGGAGGGTCGGCGGTCGCGGTGGTAGTAATCTCTGTGTCGAGTGTAGTAGTTGTGATGGACAAACAAGCTCGCGGGCTGAATCAGTAGCGGGTTTACCTGAGTACGGGTGTTTCTCAGCACGCCAGCATCTAGCTTGTCAATTAGTGGGGCGACACTCACACTCTCACAGGACGATCAGGTGACTCACAGATCACCTGACAGCTCTGTGAGTATCGTCAACTGGAGCGCAGCTGCACCTAATATGCAATAGCGGCAGGAGGTCAGTCTCCTTCGGCCCTTCACAATCATTGAACTGGGAAAGTTTCCTTGCCAATAATGCTTGGGTGGACATCAACAAGTCAGATGAATTGGATACTCGTGACATTTTGATTTAAATATGAGTGATGGGCCAGGTTCAAGAAGCTCAATGAAAAAGAAACATGGTACTACTGGGTATTTCAAGCTGTGTAGACAGACACTGGCACGTGCCAAATAATGGCCAGATAGAGAAAGCAGCTGCCCTGCCATGTCAACAATCGCAAAAGGGGTAACGAGAAAGGCATCTGATTATTAGCTAGTGCCGCCAAGTCTCGCTTTCAAGAACCTCAAATCATTGAGACCATCAACCATCATCATTAAACAACAAACAACACTCGTTCTCTTATGTCTGTGCAATCCTCATTCGAATGTTTTCTGTCATGTTTCTCTGGAGGAACCTGAGGTCTTGAGCTTCTCCAACCCAGTCGAGCCGACATCTCAACCTCCTCCAGACTAGACACTCGCCTTCTGACATCTCATCATGACCTTTACCACCACCCCCTCCCAAATCTCCATCCACCCCGAATCTACCTCCTCCTCCGCTACTCACCACCTAATCTTCATGATAACAGGTAATCCCGGCCTGATCAGCTACTACAAAACATTCCTGCACGCCCTGCACCCCCTCCTCGGCTCCCCAACCCAGGACCCCCAAACCCTCTACCACATCCACGGACAATCCCTCGCCGGCTTTGTCGACTCTCCCTCTGACCCGAGAACGATCCCAGAATCAGTAACCCACCCGTACAGCCTGGAAGACCAAATCACCTTCTCTCTCGCCTCCCTAACCGCCCTCCGCATCCCGTCCGGCCCGCAAAGAGGCCAGCCCTACACGAGCGTGATCCTGGTCGGGCATTCTGTCGGCTCTTACATCTTGCTTGAGATCATCACTCGCTTGGGTAGGTCCTCGCATGTTAGGATCGAGGCGGGGATTCTGCTGTTTCCTACCGTGACGCACATTGCGAAATCGCCGAGCGGGCTGAAAATTAGCACGTTGTTCCGGATCCCGGATTTTGCGAAGAGGGTCGGGACACTGGCGAAGGGACTGGTACTTCTGGTGCCGGGAGGAGTGTTGACGTGGCTGGTTGGACTTGTGACGAGGATGCCGAGTGATGCTGTGGAAGTCACGACGCAGTTCTTGAAGAGTAGAATGGGAGTTTGGCAAGCATTGTATGTCCATGTCCGTTCCCGTTCTGGGTGGGGAAATCGCTAATCATTTATAGACATATGGCGAAAGACGAAATGGACTTTATCGCGGAAGACAGATGGGACCAGGATATCTGGGGCATCGAGCACGAGGACCCCGATTCCAAGTCCGAAACACCACCGAAGTTGATCTTCTACTTTGGCCAAAACGTACGCCCGTCAACCTAACGACCTTTATTCGCTTCAGGCTAACCGCGTTTAGGATCACTGGGTAGCAGACCACACCCGCGATGCACTCATAGCTGCAAGAGGGGGTGGGGAAGGGGCGAGGAAGAGTTCCAAGCCAATCATGATGATCGACAAGGGCGGTATCCCCCACGGATTCTGTATTCGCACGTCTCCCTTCCTGCCCACAGTCCTGATCCAATACTAACCTGAAAATAGGCCACAGCGAGACGGTCGCTGAGAAAGTTGGTGTGTGGATAAATGAACTAATGGCAGACTCAAAGTACTGAGAACGACATATCAAGTAAGTTGACGTAAATGGCAAGCAGCTTACGTAACATCAAAGCGAGCTTGGGAGTGCACATACCAAGGTATACACGCGCAATTAAGAGTTCATAGAATTTGAAGAGGCGTGTTTGTTTGAATGATTTGAAGTTCGAAATAATAGTATATTTCTAATCTTTCAATTGTCAGTACCGGTACTTCAATCACGTTGTCTGCCATTCTAGGATTCTGCCTCCCGTCACCACGCGCACTTTTTAACTGACTAATCAATTCCATTCGCTAAAAAAGGTTATTTGCATTTTTTCATGAGGCCACATTCCCCCTTATAGGGGAAGGAGCTCTCCGGTAATACAAAGCTTCGCAAGCTCGCTTTGATTATATATATCGTGCAGCATTGATCATGGGTCCATATAAACGCCCGCAATGAAAACAATACTCGTACCCTAATATCTTTCCTCCGACCATGTCACACTTTAGTCCGCGCCTCTGATTCCGGCGTCCAGCACATCGTCACAGCTAGCTACAAGGGAGAGAACAATGTGCAATGGTCGTTTCATAGTCCGATTCTCCGAGTCAAACTCACCTTGCTTGGCATTTGAACGACAACTGCCCTCCATTCTATCCGTGCCATGCAAAAATCTTGCGTATTTTAATCAATATGGCTTATATTTTACTCGCTGCGTCTTGCGTTACGCGTCCTGTCCAGCACATCCTACCTCTTCCTCCATCACCCCCCAGCAGGATCTCTCAACTCCTCCCCACGACGCACTCGGTATCAACCCATCGTACTGTACCATGCCGTTTTCATGGCCACCGGCCGCCCGCCTCAGCAATCCAATCTTGTCGGAAGGAAACGCAGCGTAACAACAGGCCTAGCTCATGGCATGGCTGGTCACCTGCCACCTAGACTCTCTATCCCCTTCCAAGTAATCCATTTCTGCAGCAAAGTTTCGCAACCTAGCCGAATGCCCGAAAAAAATATGTTCGAATTAGGCCTGGAAGGGAGAGCCTTGATCTCCAATTTTCGCAGACCCATAATGTCGTAAGGTGTGCCACCCGGCGCCGACGAGCCCATATATAGCCAGAACCTTCCCTTTCCATAGACTTCTCTGGTTGGTCAAGGACCTATCGAGCTGTCTTCCTCGATGCTTGCGTGTGGGGGTGTGTTTGGATGTGAGCCCAGATGCTGCTTCAGCCACGCTAATCCCCAATACCAGAAAATATATATAAGGGATCTTGAAGGGTCTATCGGTGGCTGGCCGAGATCTGGAAGGGCCCACGTCCTAGGGCAGTTAGCAGCAGTAGTAAACAAATATGCCTAGAAAATTTCAGCGCAATCAGAAGTTGAGAAGCAAGATGAGAGAACGATACTCGCGAGTTGCGCCCCCTCAACTTTTCTGCGGCTTTGAATGGTATAACAGCCAGTGGCTGTGATAACCGAGGAAGAATATCCAACCAAGGTAGTCAGCGTAGCTCGTCGGTAGCTGGTTGTTCTATTCGATATTGGATATCGGCTCGCTATGGAATATTCTAATCTTCATCCTTGCGACTGTCGTCAGTTGACGTGATAGAATACTCTGTTCAGCCTTCCAGTCGACATGAAATCACCCAACTGAAAATATCCCATGTATATAGGCAGCAGGATCCACTGCATCTGGAAGTGTAGCAATCTGAAAGCCTCGCTGGCTGGGAACCTATTCGACGGCGATGTGTAAGAGTAGAGTCAGATATCCCTCCGTGTCCGTAAACGGAGGAGAGGGCCTTCAAACCTCTGGAAGGGCGATATGAGAGAAGAAGTCAAGTTCAGTATCGAAGTTTCGTTCCGGCCCGAGGAGCAGATATCTGTATGCCATGCCATGAATCGACAATTCCGGACTTCGCATACGACAGGAATCCTGCGAGAAAAAACCAGTGAAAATTGAGCAAACCAATGGCAGAATATCAACCAGGGAAAGGCTCAGCTCGGTACAGGAGATTCGGAAGGCTCAGGATATCCACGGACTGGACTAAGGTGAAAGCGCGTTGATGTTCCTTCCTGCTTAGCTCGGTATGCCGGGAAATCTCCGGCTATTCACCACGGACCACGAGGCGAAAACGTGAGCTACGACTACATAGGCATCAATTTCAGAGAGGAATCCACCTAGAGCATGTAGCTTAGTTGGGGGTTGCTATGGATTGTTGGTCTAATGGGAAGAGGTTTCGGTTACCTACCTCAGGATGCCTTCAGGAAGTGCGCTCCAGGACGTCGACTTCAGATGGCCACAGATGCCTAGGTGTGTTCTTGACTCTGCATGTTCGCTTTTGTTACTTTGTTCATGTTCGCGATTTTTTGGGATCGGTTTTTTGATACAGGCTGGGGCGGGTTGGCGGTTGGAACACCATTTCTGCATCTTTTCGCGTTCATTCTGTTTTGGTGGTTTTTTCAGCGCGCTCGCTCAGCGCGTACCATCTAACCCTTTTTTAGAGCAACCTCGACGATCCCGAGGCAGGATGGTTTATTCCGTGTGTTGAATTTGAACATTTGGCAGTGGAATATATTTCAATTTCTAATCACGTCGACACTACACACTCTTTGATTTGAATGGGAGGCATTCTCCATTGCTACCAAGGTCGCGATGAAGCAGTTACCATGCATGACAAGTGAATTCTCCCCGTCACGGCAATTCCAAAGGGAAAACTTCAAATAATAGCTAGGCTCAGATATCCTTCTTGCCCCAGCGAGACTAGACGGCCAGGCGAGCCAGAGTCGCGTGTTTCAGCTGGAATGGATGTCCTCGTACAGAGCAGGCAAGTAGTCTAATTGCAGTCGGAGCTGAATGGATGGATTTTCCTCGAACCGTTCAAGACAGGTAAGTTCAAGTAAAACCAAGAATCATGAGCTGGTTATTCCAGCAGCAGCGTTCCCATGGTCCCTCAATTTTGCGTAAAGCGCCCGTCAGCACCCCCTCGAGCTGCAGCTCCTGACACCCGCTACGCTTTTAAGCTAGCGACGGCATACTCTGCCTTGCGTTATTGGTGCTTAGAGATGCAATGATCGGTCTGTAGAGCAAACGTCTTTTGCATTCTTGCAGATACTTCGTCCATAAAAGCCCTTCGACAAGGAGAAGAAGCCATAATTTAAAGGCTCTGGAAAGACAAAAACGAAACTAAATCACAAAGAATATCAAGACACAGTACGGATTCCATTGCTACCGATCTATCTAATCAAGAGCCTTGCGCCAACTAAACTTCCGGGCTACCTATCATTCGCGTCTGGTAAATCCACCCATAATGGGTGCGTAACCTTCGAAGTAATGTGAGGCCGCTGGTCCAGCTCTACCGCTGGTTGAGTTCTCGAAAGGAGGTCTCTGTGGGGGAGTGAACCGAGCTCGTTGAGGTAGAGTGGGTGTGATGTGCGAAACACGAGGACTTTGTTGAACTGCTAGGACCGGGGCTGGAATCTCGACGGGCATCATCTGCAAGCGCTGAAGCTGGTCGCTTCTGATTTGCTCTAAGACCTCCTTGTTCTCCTCAGCAGTAAGGCGATCCTAGACCACAAGTCAGCATTAAATTCATTTTGAAGAGGGGCATAAATATGGCTTACATCGTCGTCAATCTCAAACGAATCAGTCTGCACGATTTTTCGGATAATACCAGGGTTCAGGTCCAGAACCTTGTCAAGAACTGGGTCTAGTCCTCTGACATGAGAAATGTCCTTCTGAGGGACTTCCTTCGGCTCGTGCAGAAATTCGCCGAGGGATTTTCTCGCGGCCACCAAAGGACTCTTCTTGTCGACGACCCTTGAAGCGAGTTGAGCCTTGAATATGGTTTTATTATGGATGTTATCCTCGAAAGTGCCTCCACACACAAACCGATAAACAAAGGTAGGCTTAAGCTGCCCAATGCGGTATGCGCGTCCAACCGCTTGCTCTTCTTGAATGGGATTGAACTTGAAATCGAAGATGACGACGCGATTTGCACTCTGTAGGTTCAACCCAAGTCCGCCAGCAGTGGTAGAGATAAGATAGACTTCGTCTACCCCCTTGTTGAATTCCTTAGTTTGGGCTTGACGCTTGAGGATGTTGGTCTTGCCATCCAGCCGCTTGTAGGGTCTGCCTTGAGTTCTGCAAAGTTGCTCCAGGAAATTCAAGGTAGGAATAGACGAAGAGAATATGAGAGTCTTGTCTCCAACAGCTTTAGCGCAGTCCAGGATTTGGCAAAGTATCGAGGCTTTGTAAGATAACTCAACTGAGTGTAAATCTTCGCTATTGAAAAGCTCCATGACCTCGTTGACAAAGCTTTGTGATAATCCGGTGTCGGCAAGAGGCACGTTCACCACATCGGCCACTGTGGTATCGTCTTGGTCGTTAGGAGCACGAGCCGAAGAAAGTTCTCCACGGTCCTTGTCACTTTCAGGGGCTCCCTTCCGCTCTTGAATCTTGGTGCTGAAGCAGTAGGGGTGATTACACAGCAGCGACAGGGTTGCGATCCTGTAGAACACAGGGGCGTTAGCAATCACTCATTCAGATAGATTTCGATCGAAGGGTAAGACGATGTTCATGGGATTCATGAGACAACGTAGATAAGAAGATGACTCACCAAGACCATAAGGTTGTAGTTTTCACCTCGCCATCCTTGGTTAGTTGGTTGCGGCTCGCATTCAGTGTCTCGATGTACATCGAGTAGACCTTGCGCTGAATATCCGTCAACGGCAGTGTCAAGACAAATTCGACCTTTGGAGGTAGCTCATTTTTCAGCACTTGCATACCGGCACGGTCAACCTTGAGACGGAGTTCCTCATTCAGTTGTTTTAGCTTCTTGAGGCACGTGCGTCTCTCAGGTTGCGTACTCTCGACGAATAGACCGGCTTCGATAGGATTCTTATATTTGCGGTCGAATTCCTTCAGGGAACCAAGGTAGTTGTGAACGATCCAGTTGATCATTGCGTAGTACTCCCCAACATTATTGGCAAGTGGAGAGCCAGTTAGAGCAATCCTCGAGAGAGTGCGAAATTGAGTTGCGACTTTCGTGAGCTTCGAGGAAGTGTTCTTCATCTTATGCGCCTCGTCAGCGATGACGATATTTGGACCGTTCAGAAGCTGGTCTTGAACGCGCATGTGTTCTTCTTGGGTAAGACGAGCGCCTTGCTTCTTACCGGCCGAATTTGTGAGCATATTGCGAAATCCATCGTAAGAGCATAACAAAACTCCCCCAGCTTCATGCCACTCTGAAATTGCATCTAAGCGCTCAGATATATCAAAACTGTTTAACTTCCATAGATTTCCCAATATGTCTGGAGGAGTCCAGCCTAAAAGTTCATCCATCCAATTATCAATTAAGCCTGCTGGGCAGAGAATGAGAGCTTTTGTTTGCTTCAGGCTATCAGGGATTTGAGAAGAGATTGATTCATCTGGGGATGCAGCCGCCTCTGCGATAGCGACGAGCAGGCATATAGTTTGCATAGTCTTTCCTAGACCCATAGTATGAGCTAGCAGGCAGCCTTGCATGTTTTCTTCGCCGTCGGTTGTGACAATCTGGTTCCACATGAAGCGAACGCCGTTCATTTGATGGGGTTTGATGCATCTGCGGAAGTCTTCATGGACAAAAATTGGCTTTTGACCTTCGGCTGCAGCATCGTTTATCTGGTAAAATTCCACGCCTCTATCGAGAGAGCTACCATACTGTGCAAGCTTGGCCTTGAGTGTTTGACGACGACGTTCTTGCTCAGCTAAGCGTTCGCGATTTCTTTCACGAAGAGATCGGGCTCCAGCATCTTCCAAGATAGTCTTCTTACGCTTTAAAGGTAGGGAGTCTTCAGCCTGTACATCATCATCTGTAGTAGTATTGATCGTAATCTCTCTCGATCGACGCGGACGCCTGGTTTGACGCTTAATTGGTCCCTCGTCACTGTCATCGTCGCTATCGTCATCACTAACTATGAGACCCACGGTGCTGCTGCGGCTGATTTCTGGCGATGGTGAAGCCGGCTGCAGAGCACGGAAAGAGTCATTGAAGTAGCGGTATACTTGGCATCCAATCTGGAAGAATCGCGGGTAATGCTTTTCTTTGTTGTGCAAAGCACCATGTAGGGATGCATCCGGCAGTGGCTCATCATTCCAAGGAAAGAATTTGCACGCAATAAACATTAAAAAGATTTGAACAAGAATTGTGAGCCGATCGAAGCCTTCACGGTTGGGATCGCCCTGGACACTCCCTTCGCTTTTGAGATGCTCCTGAATGGTGGACTTCATCATAGCCCAGAGTTTGACATCGGAAAAGTGGGCGAAGAACTCAAGCTGCCGGTCTCTGTCATGTTGCTTCATTTTGTGGAAGATCCGAACCAACAGTCTCTCCCGGTCACCCAAGGCCTCATAGAAACCGTATGAGAATTGTGATATAACGGCAGGATCGACATCCGGAGGTAATTCTCCATAAATTGCTGACTTAACGGGGCCAGGGCTAGGACTGCGGAGAGGTTTCATCTTGATCTTGGGAATGGATCTCACTGGTGACATTGATGCTGGCTTCTCTGGGGTACAGAGATCGATAAGAACTCCAGAGGAAGAATCAGATTGTTTTGGTGGAGAGTCTGCCGTCAAATCAATGAACGCATTAGGCTTTGCATCAGATTTAGTCGACTTGCGTGGAGTGCTGAATTTGCTGGCAGTCGTGAAAAGCTCGTCAAGATTAGGATCCAGCTCTTTATCGGATGGCTGGTCTTGTTCTGAATGGCTGCTCTCAACTTGTGAAGTAGCAGACACTGGTTTTGGTTGGTCATTGGCCAACGCATCTTGCTCGGACTGATCCTCAAGCAGCGATTTGACAGATCTTGGTGTGCCTGAACCAATGAAACCAGCTTCGTCGTCGTCATCGTCGGAAGCTACCGAGGAGTGTTCAGGAACGTCGACTTCATCTTCGTCATCCGAAACAACAAAATCACCTAGGCCATCGCTGTCGTCGTCGAGAGAATTTTTCTTTTGGTTATTATCAACAGCACCAGATTCCATGACCGTGGCGGAAGCAGATTTGGCTTGCTTCATAGGTTTGTCTGGGACGTCATCTTGCTTAAGCACAGCGATTTTCCATCGGAGATATTCGCGCTCAAAGACCGTAGGCTCCATGACATATGCTTTACCTACGACCTCACTGTATCTTGACCAAGGGAGAGTATGAAACTCCTCGCGCAGCTTGGATAGACGGCTCTGCAGATACCCAATACGCTCTTCAAAAGCCTCAACATCTTCCCACTCTGTACCGTGGTTGTGAGATTTGCGCCAGATGCGATATGCAGTCTTTTCTATCTTCGGCTGCTGCTTATCTTGCCAATTCGTAATCAGGTTGGTAATTGCCTCGTCAATAGCGGCGTTGACTTCTTCTGCAGTGATCACAGATCTCTTCTTCGATCTTTGGTGCACAATCGGAAGGACATGGCCTTGTTCCTGCTCCCATTCGCGCCAAAAGACCTAAATTTATTAGCGAACAATTTCCATCGACATGCAGAAAGGAGTGTGTATGCCGTACTGGATCCTCTTCAAAGTCGTCCTCGGAGCCTGATTCGCCAAACAAGGGCAGTTCTGTGTCGTCGGCGGCTCCTCCCCATTTCTTCGCAAGGAAATCAGGATCCGCTCCCTGGGGCTCTGGGCGCATGCTCATGACTTGGAACGGATCTAGAGACTTGAACTCATCTACTGACTTATCACCTAGTAGTTGGGGCCAATCAACAACCTTCTCTCGTCTGGCACGGCATTTCCCTTTTGAATTGTGATAGTACAGAGTGAAAGATGGAGTTTGGAAGAAGCCCATAAGTCCAGACTTAGCATCATCACCTTCGTAGTAGGTGCGAACAGCCGTGAATACCTGCCCATTGCGCCTAATATCTACAGCCAACAGACTATCCGTGAATTTTGCCGGTCTGATGATTTTCGAGACTCGAGTCAAGTTTTGAGTCACAGGCTGATTCCCCTTGTTGATCTTTGAGATGAGGGTGACGGTGGCTCGGGATTCGCGGGTCACGGCAGCCTTGCTAAGAAGGAAATTTCGCATAAGCTTGTTGACATATCTGACAAGACCCGGGGGTTTGGCACTTCCCATGTGCAATGATATTTCATAGTCATCTTTGGTCATGTCCTCTACGTTAAGCTCTTGGCCAAACTTGATACCTTCGTAGAAGACATCGTCAACAGGCAGCTTGCCCTTACCAAGATACGCAACTACTCGTTGCAGAGAATCCCGAGATCGATTTGACTTGGTAGTATAAGCGTTGACAGATATACCTTCGACGTGTGATTGACTGTCGGTAGGCTGAGAGGAATTTTCGAGATGAAGCTGCATAGCGGCATCAGCATCGGAATCATGAGCCAAGTTGTCTTCAGCGACTTGGTTAACACGATCACGTTGAAAGCAGCTATAGTAGGCTGCTACTTCCTTGTTCCGATACTCGTCGATGTCGGTATCGATGATAATCGGCGCCAATCTCCTTTGTGCGTCGTCGACCTGTTGATTTCCGATCTGATGATAAGCAGGAAGAATGCCTTCCAAGGCGGTCTCTTCACCCCCGATCTGGTCATAGATAGAAAGAAAGCCTTCCAATGGCGTCGGCCCAAGTAGATGAGCGACGAAGTCAGCGGCACTTGGATCATGGCGATTTCTAACAACGTTCTCCGGGAGGGGCTCGGTGGTCAATTCTGCCAGATTGAGTCTCCTTTTGGGTTTGACAGGAGAGTCTGGAAGGTTGGAACCTGCGACTTGGTTCTGTTCGGCCTTTGGGGTGGATTGGTCGACACCAGGATTGATAGCAGGATCGTTGATGATTGGCCCTTGCGAAGTATAAATGGAAAACTTGGAGCCCTGGTCATCATCTTCAAATTGCGGAGCTTGCTCGGCACTTGGGTCAGCGACATCAAGCTTGCGTCTCTTCGCTGTGGATTCCTCGAAGTCGGGCTGCTCCTTATTGACAAAAAGGTCGTCTGAGGGAGTACGTATTGGGGTACCAAACGCCTTTGCACCAACGGCAGCTTCTGCGAGAAGCTGTCGATGTGCAAGATCGACCACTGACGCAGCCGCATCGGTAGAACTGCCTTGGAAGCCACCGAGGCTGTTGGACGGAGGGAAACTTCTGGCGGGCTGAACATGCGGATTCATCGCAAGCCATTTTTTGCTTTTGAGTTTGAAATAGGAAATCGCGGCAAGCACGAATGTACGCTGGTTGAGGCCCTGCACTGCAAGGTCTTTCCTCACTGCTGCCTTGTCGATGGACATTAAAAACACTGCTCCTGTGACATTCTGCTCTTTTAAGGTATTTTGTAGCGCGACCGGATCAGGTTTCAAGAAGCCATCGGGATTAGGCCATGTGTAAAGCTCCTGGAAGAGTCTGTCGACGCCCCAGTCCCACGGATCGTCTGCATTATTTGACGTCATGATGAGGGCTGAACATGAGGAAGTAGAGATTTTAGGAAGATCGATTTGGTCGAGCCAGAGAATGATGGGTTCGTCACGACTTGGAAAGAGAAAGTTAGTCATGAGGTTGAGAAGAAGCGTGCTGCAATTGCGCCGCGATAATAGTTTATCTCTGGGGAGGGAGGTGAAGGGGGGAAGGGGGCGGGGGAGGGGCCGAAGGTGAATTCCGTAGAGGAGGTAACTTTGGATGAAGGGCAAGGGAATGCGCGCGTATGTTGGAAGTGAGTGTTTGGGTAGGTTGAAGAAGCAAGGTAGGTATGGAAGTTTCAAGGAGTCGAGGTTGGAGAAAGCGATGTTGAGTAAATTTGAAAGAGAACAAGACCGCGCAAATTTACCAACTGGAGGAGGATTCGAAACAAGTCTGGTTTGGTCTGGTATAGCCTGAGAATCTCTCGTCTGTTGTAGAAAAAGGAGAGTATGAAATCAATGTATGACGAGGGATAGCGCGCCAGACGTGCGTTGCGTTCGCTCCGTTCGTTCTTCGGGGTATCGCAGATCGTGGGTATCGTGAAGTTGAAGAGAAGAAACAGAACGCCGTGCCAGGACCGAAAGATGAAGAGAAAACGGAAGGTGTATGGTTGTGGAGGTGGAAGAGCGATCGAGAGGGAGAGGTTGTTGTGCTCAAGTTGATATGTATTGAATTTGGGTCGAGTCGTTCGCGGTTCTCGCGTTCTGCACGGCGATAAGGATTTCTTATCTTAGCGCGGGGGACCGCAAATGTGATGCCGACGACAGGACAAGCATGGACCCACAAATTAGCCGCATCTTTCAAAATATCCAGCTACTCCGCAGTCGAGTAAATATTTATATTATGATTATATTGAAGGTACGGTATTGAAGTCGAACAACTCTCGACCCACAGATCTGCACCCCCCAATGTCAGAAACTTTGAACATGGCACCCAGCAGAGCCGTTGAAGAGCCCTATCCTCCTCTGTCTTTGACCTCAGCCGAATCCGAGCAACTGATCGCAAGCATCAAGGACTGGTCAATCGCTCATGGGTTGGCAGTGAGGCCACCGCCGGCTGTGGTCTCGGCTGAAGCAGATCCTCTCGGAATCCTAGCAACGACCGCTCCTGTCACCCTGTTCCCGAGTCCCTTCCCTCGAGTATGCTTTGAGCAAGCTAAGTCTATCCAAAAAGCATACAATCAGTTGTATGCCTCGATAGCACAGGATGAAGATTTTTTGCAAGCCATTGTACAGGAGTGAGTCTAGACAAAAAGTTCACTATTTGTTTAATACCAAGAAAATGACGCAAACCGCTGACAAGTCTAGAATAATCGAAGTCGATGAGTTTATTGCAGAGTTGTGGCAGGTCCATCTGAAAGTCAAAAAAGAAGGCTATGTCCAGGTACAATCCAGACAGAAACTATTCATACCTCGTCTCGCTCTGACAGGATACAGAATCTTTCCCTTGGACTTTTCCGTTCTGATTATATGGTCCATCAAAGCACCACCGATCATGCGCCTACCATCAAGCAGGTCGAGTTCAACACCATTGCCTCGTCGTTTGGCGGGCTTTCCTCCCAGACCTCGGAGTTACACAAGTACGCACCATTGAATACCAGCTCTGCCCGGCCGTCCCAAGAACCTCATGAATCGAGCTAACAAGCCTACAGATATCTCTCACTCAGTGAATATCCCTTGTTGGAGAAAAATCTCCAGACCAAAGATATGAGCCTCCCTGAAAATAAGAGCACCAGGTTTCTGGCATCAGGATTGCGTGCTGCTTTCGACTTTTACACAAAGTCCGAAACCAGCCACCCATGCTGCATACTCTTCGTCGTACAGAACCCCGAACGGAACATTTTTGACCAACGACATCTCGAGTACGAATTACAACAACATGGAACTCCTGTCTTCCGCCTTCCGTTTGAGGAAACACTTACTCGGACCTCCATTGAAGATACGCCCAGACGCCAGCTTCTGTACTACCCACCCAGTAACCCCTCAAAAGTCTTCGAAGTCGCCGTTGTATATTTTCGCGCAGGCTACGGACCAGGAGACTACCCAGACGAGTCAGCGTGGAAAGCCCGTCTCCAAATGGAGCGCTCCAACGCCATTAAATGCCCAACAATTCTCACTCAACTCGCCGGGGCCAAAAAGGTGCAACAAGTCCTCGCTACACCAACCTCACCATCTATGCCTTCAATAATCACACGCTTCATCGAATCCGGAACCTCCTCCATTCAAGGCCTCGAAGATACCTTCACAAATATTTATCCTCTAGATGACACACCCGCCGGTCTCGCCGCCCGCAAACTTGCCACCGACCCCGCCAAATGTCAAGGCTACGTTCTGAAGCCCCAGCGCGAAGGGGGTGGAAACAATATATACCGCTCCGCCATCCCGCCTTTCCTCGCCGCCCTGCCCGAGTCCCACTGGAAATCCTTCATTCTAATGGAAATCATCATCCCGCCGCCGGTGCACAACCTCATTCTCCGAAATGGCGTCCTAGAGCAAGGTGGCGTAATCTGCGAGCTGGGCGTCTACGGAACCTGTCTCTGGGATCAGGTGTCCAAGGAGGTGCTGCATAACGAAGAGGCGGGCTACTTACTGAGGACCAAGGGCGACAAGAGCGAGGAGGGGGGTGTCGCGGCGGGCTTTGGGAGTATGGATAGCTGTCGACTGGTATGATGGAGAGCGTCAGCGGGGCTTTTCTCGCACCAGGAACGAATATGGAAACCGGGGCCCATTTAAGTATTTTCTGCTGCATGATTTTAAACGCGACTTCAAGTCTGACCAGGCGAGTTGGGGCGCAGAACGATTGAAGACAGGCCTCAAGCCCTTCATATAAAATCAAGCAAAACCTCCCAATAGCCGAGGGCACGAGTGCGATGTCGGGTGGCATCGACGGGCAGGCTTTCTTCTTCGGTAGTCATGGCGCTGCTCGGCACGCCACTGCATAGCCGCAATACTCTCTTCTTTTTCAATACTTTTGCCTCACTATTCCAATCATCCTGCATATCAGCTTGCTGCTCATCGTTACCTTGCTTTCCACGTACTGCATTGTATCTTATGCCATCTCATCATATACTCACCTTCATCTACATATTTATCCTTCGCTTCGCATGTCGTTCTTCAGATCCGCCATATTAAAACTCCAACTCTCAGGCTCATCTGGCCATCTATCTCGAAACTGGTTGGATACAAATAAAACCCAAGACGCCATGAGCATCTCAATATTCTTTTCTCACACACGAAATGCAAGAAACGCGAGAATTATTCAATAACACGAGAAACATGCACAATTTTTTCATTCAACCCTCTTTTTTTTTCTTTTCGCCCCGTATCCCAGAGGATAGACGAAGCGCTCGTCTTAGCCTCGCCCATCTCTGTCCACATTTGCCTTCTTTGGAGTCTTTCAGAATTTTATTTCCAAATTTTATCCTAAATGCTTCCGAAAATTTCCTCATATTTTTTTGGGATCATCCTTAATATTTCTGTGGCAAGTCGTCACAAGGCTAGAACACACTTTGCCTCTCACCCTCCTCACCTTTCGTCCTGGGGTTTGAGTTCACGTGATAGATCGTGATGGTCTGTCTGGCCTCTCAGAGTTAAGTAGGTGATTGCAATATGAAAGAGCGGAGAAAATAAACTGGTTATCCCTTATTCATGTATTCAATGGGATTTTGGGAGTGCGGGGAGGGGAGGGGCGGTTTTGTTTTTTTTGCATGTCGTCGAAGATTTTAGAGCGCTTTCTCCGTGCCTCCTTTTTCCAAAGCTGATCCTGAACGGACGATTCTTCAGGTTTTGTTGCGTATCGCAGAAGTCTGGAACACTCTGTCATTCGTATCCTTATTTGTATATTTTAAGGATTTGTTGTACATCGTCGACTTTGCGGCCGAGTTTCCACGAAGAGGAGAGGAGCCCTTAAGATCTACAGCCAGCCTGATTTCATGTCTGGGGGGTATAAATTAGCTATATATGAAGAGATCATTATATATCGAATAAACACAAGGCAATACTTTAAATCTAACCGGAAATGCCGAAACTTTCATCGCAAAGCTTCGGTATACGGAGAGTAATGCCAGGTCATTATTCTTCGCCAATGGAGGTATCGAGGTGTGCTTGGGTTTATCTCTAACTGTCTGAGGCTTCAGACGTGAGTGTTGGGTGGGTGTCGGTCGTAGTCTGGTCTAGTCCGAGGATTTCGGATTGCTGTGGAGATGCCACATTTGAAGGAAATAGTTACATATAGCTGGGCCTATCTCCATGTCCTCATAACGCATGTGGAAATAGACTGCTGGCTCGAGAATTATTCTGAGGGCTTCGTAGCACCTCCTATGTAAATCAAGATAGATAGATACCCGCACTCCACCTGACACTCTCTGCAATATATTTTTTTCGGTTATTGTATGTCCCTCAGACTCATGCCGGGATATGCACTTTGCAATAGCAATTCATGCCTTACGTACGTGGCTCAGTTGTATCATTTCTTTTTACTGCCCTGTTCCTGAGTGAGTGTGTCGCTGTTCGCGCTCTCCTCTATAGAAAGTTCAGCCCGTACATAGCCGCGCCTTCCATCTATCCACAAAGCGCAACAATAACCTCGGGCTTTTCCTTGATCGCTCGCTGTATAACTTGTAAGGACTCCTGGCTTGTCATATTGTTATGGGATATCTTAGATCTTAGGCATTTTACCATTGCTGGATCCTTTATTGTGAGATCACTAAAGAGGAAATTTCTCGGCTAAACACCAATGACTACCTAGGTACTATAGCAACACCATAGGGAGCATTCCATTTGGCTTAGACCTCAATTGCAAACCTAGAAAATTTCTTAAGATTTTGGATCTGGGTCTAAATCACCAACCGATTTCATGATTACTACGAGCTATCTAAGCGAGGTTCCATCTTCGTCTGGCGATCTTCTTTATCCTTCTTCACTACACATCACTCATATTCACCGAAACCACTTCATACTTCGGTCCGATCCATGATAATACCCTATCATCACCGCATCTATCAACTTCTCCAAGCTCGTCTCAAACCCAACTATACCACCATACCATCGCCACATCCATTCCCCTCCCGACACTTCATCTCAAACCCCACTACCCCCTCACATCATACCAAAAACCCAACAACAACACTCCACCATGTCATCTACCAACTACAATGACAGAGCAACTCGCTATGAGCAGCTCAGAGCCGAGACAAAGCGTCTCGAAGGACGAGTGTACGCAAGAATACGAACCCAAGACGATTCCACGGGGGCTCTCGTGATTCAAGAACACAGAGCGCCCGCCCGGGGAGAGGCAAATGTGTATGGAAAAGTCATCCCACAGCACAAAGAAGACCTGTACTATCAGGACTGGGAGGCTGTCACGCCGCGCGGGCAGCTTCATGCTCCAAACACATATCTTAAGACTGAGCATCGTCTGAATGAGGGCCCTACGAAAGAAACCCTGAGAAAGTGGGGAGTAGAGTTAATTCCTCGGCAGCAGAGGACTTTCACTGAGGAACCTGAGGAGGTAGAGCAATAATATGAAGATAGTCTACTGATGAAGGAAAAGGCAGTTGCCGGATATGTGGTCCGGGTGAGGAGCTAAAGGAAGGGGATAAAACTTCAGGACCTGACCTAGGTCCTCAACAGGATATGACTATGTATATTTCTACTCGGCCAGACGAGCTATAGCATAATTATGCAAGCGTACGCCGAAGCAACCGAACGACGATGTAAATATCAAATTAGGGTAGCATTGACTCAGGGTCGCGGAATTGTCACGTGACTAGTAAGCGAGCGCCGACGGACTAGCCCAGCCTCCTTCCCAGCCCTCCTGCACCACGTATCTGTCCATGTGGATTGATTCACTGGCCCCGTTGGACTGACTTCCTCGTCACTGCCATGTTCTAAAGCTGGTATATATCTCAGTCGTAGAAGACTGTTTCCCAAGGTTGGTGTTTTTTTTTCTTTCGCCTTCAACGTACAGAATGCCTTATATCCCCCACACCCCCGAGTCCATACTTCAGCGGTCAGACTCGAAGGACCCAGGAACGACCTGCAGAGGCCTGGGTCAGAATGGAAAGCCATGTCGAAGAGGAATTGGCAAGTCACCGCAGGCGTCGCCGAGTCCGAGTCCTCGGCGAAAATTGAGTGCGAGTCCCGCGACCGCGAGGACACCGGTTCCAGAGGAGTATTGCTGGCAGCACAAGGATCAAGCAGCAGCCTATGCCAGTTCCTCACCCCAACGAGTCCAGCCCGCGACAAGAATAAAGGAGAGAACAAGCGTGGATACATTGGTTGACAGACTGGGCTTGTTAGAAGTCGAGGATCGGAAGCATGGGAAACGTCGCAAACCACTCCTGGTGCCAGAGCCAGAGCAAACAAGCGCTGAGGATGCTCCGCGACCCGAGCGGCAGAGACCCCGACCAAAACCTGCGACTGCGAGTGGCCTGGGTCTATGCTGCTGTTTAGGACTGGCCGATGAGGGGAGACGGGCTCCAAGACCAGCAAGACCAGTGAGCAACTATCCCGGGAAGACAACGGCGTCCGTACCTTCCAAGGTCGCAAAAGTTTCCTCGAGTATACCTCCGAAAACCCACCGTCCTGCGTTCAATCGCGACCCCTCATCCCGGACAGGAGATTTCCTGTCCCTGATACCTCCGTCGGCATCTCCACAGCTGACCGCTCAGCTTCTCGCCGAGATGGCAAAGCCGGTATCTGATAAAGACCAGGAAGGATATATCTACATGTTTTGGCTCACTCCCGAGTCCGTACCTGTGGATCCACCCTCTGAAAGGGCAGCATCATCTCTCCTCGCGCCTCCCTCTCAACGTATGCCGGGTCAGCGAAGAACCTCCGAGATGCTCAACACCTTTGCTACAACAATCCCCAATTCCGCGAACCAGAAAACCATACTTCTGAAAATTGGAAGAGCTCAGAATGTGTATCGACGGTTGAACCAGTGGACCAAACAGTGCGGCTACAATATTTCCCTTGTTCGTTATTATCCATACCAGTCTACCACCTCGCAAACGAGCGTTAACGAGCCACCGAGTACCCCAAGGAAGGTCCCCAATGCAAACAAGGTCGAGAGACTGATACATATCGAGTTGAATCATCTGAGAGTTGTTGGTGATGGCAAGTGCAAAGCCTGCGGGAGAGAACATCGGGAGTGGTTTGAAGTTGATGCTAGCAGGAATGGTGTGAAGGCTGTTGACGAGGTGATTAGACGGTGGGTTGAATGGGGAGAACGGGACATTGGGAGGTAACGAGAGCTAGTAATGCGATGAGTATCTTAACTTTTCCTCGCATCTAGGAAAGGATGTACTAAAGTGAGCACCTAGTCTTTTAACTCTTTGTTATTGTCAATCGTGACCTTTTGACAGCTGCTATCAGGTGTCCATATTCCAAACTTAGATGGTCCTCCGTTGACCTCGCCAGACTTCTGCGAATAGTCATCCTCGTTTTCTGTAGATGAATCGGGTGACGTTCTTCCCCACCTTTTCATCATCTACTTTCATCTACCCATCTGTTTCTCCTCACAGCTTGGTCCCAGCTCTGCTCTGTTCTGCAATCGTCATGAAAGCCTTGCATCTAAGTAAGTTGGATATTCAATATTCTGTCTGTTTGTCAGTCCTCTTGGTAGAGCCCTCGCTTGCTTGCTTGCTTGCTTGCCACCCTGTTTTAGTACTTTACCTACTTTCATCTCTACTTTGAAAGAGCAAAATACAGCTTACCAGTTCAGAGGCTCGACTCTCCGTCCAGGAATGTTGGCTCCCTGATACCAGCTCTTGGCCATGGGGAACAAGGTCGCGTCCCACTTCTCACACATCCTCCTCGTCCAGTCGGCCTCTGTCGCAGGCGTGCTCTCCAGCCGGGTGATCCTCTTCGCCGTCGCCAGCCGGATGGCCTTCTCGACAAACTCTCCTTGGAACTGCGTGCAGCGGGGGTCATTGCTGAAGGACGTCGGGGCGTGCGGGCCGTAGAGGAAGAACATGTTAGGGAAGGCCGGGATGGCGATGCCCATGCTGGTCCTCGTGCCGTCCTTCCAGTGGTTGGCGATGGTGGCCCCGATCGTGCCCCGGATGTCGAGCCGAGCCAGGTATCCCGTGACGGAATCGAATCCCGTGGCCAGGACCAGAATGTCGAGCTCCTCCAGGCCGCCTGCGTGCTTCAGTCCCTGCGCGGTGACTTCGACGATGGGGGACTGGTTGACGTTTACGATCTTGACCTTTTCTTGGCTCATGACCTCGTGGTAGTTCTGCTCGAGCGAAGGCAGGTATTGGCGCTACCTTGAATGAAACTTTTGTAGAACCTCCGCTCAGAGAGTCCGGATTTGCAACTTCTTCCGGATGAACCGCGTGCAGATCCATGGGCAGGACCTGCCATCAAGTATGTATGTACCCCATCGTCCGAGGCGCGATGCAAAGTAAAGGTCTGGTCCAGGATAAGTAAATATACAAGATATCTCTGATCAGTATGACAAGCCAAGAGGTGGGAAGGTTAGTAGCTGTGTGAACGAAACGTGAGACGTTGCGGGGAGGCGGAGCACATCGTCGGGAGCGGAATGCTTGCTTATGGATAGACAAGAAGCATCATGGTTCTACTTTCCATAGCATCGAGCCACAGGTTCGGAGATCTCCCCAAAGGGATCAAAGGGCAGACTGGATAGACACATTGGAAGACGAAGAAACGAACAGGATGCCAGAAGTAAGCTAATAACCGCTTGAGGTTGTCAAACCAAACCAAACCAAATCAAACCAAACCAAATCAAACCAAATCAAACCAAACCAAAAAAAGTTTTATTATCATATGGACGTTTAGTCCCAATATTTGATAGAGGCATTTAGATCGACGAATGTCGAGGCCATTGTAGAAGCACACAGAAAGAGCTGTCGTATGAGAGCCCAACAAGAAGGCAGGGCCTCATGATCCCTCACAAGAAGAGTGCAAAAAGATGGGTGGAAAGCTCGTTGATTGTTCTATCTACATAAGGGGTGGCTTCTTACAGAAGATGACCCTAGCTAGTTTGGCCAGAATGGCCCTTGGCAGGAAGCATGGCAGACCGGGTGTTTACACCATAAGCTCAGAGGCTTGAAGCGAGGTGGTGTTGGGCCCGCTCGCTTAACATGGTCGGCAGCATTTGAGTCTTGTGAACCGCTTTGGACTTGATTTAAATGATACTCAAACTATGCGTGAGGCTGAGGAAGGATAATCTTAAAATCTTTTAGCTACATCCAACCGTTCTCCCGACCAATATAAATAGCCTCATGGTGCATGAAAATCAAGGATCAGCTGCACGCAGATATCCAAGTCCTGCTGGGACGTTTCGATCATGGTACTTGCCACTGGGATCAACAACGTGACCATTTTCCGGGCTGGTCTATCCTTTCTTTCAATTTTTCGAGGACCCGTGTCATCTAATGGAAGGCCCTGCCGGTCGAGGAATGGACGAATGGACGACAGTAACACCCTCGCCTGAACTTGGAAGATTCGCAACGCGCCAAGATACCTACCGCTGTATCAGATCCCCTCGTCTCAACATCTCGCTTTTCTGGTCTGGATTGAAGAAACACTCCTCAGAGCGGCACTTGGGATCATCGAGGCAAACTTGACACCTCGGATTGGAAGTTGGAACCCAGAGGACCTCGGGCGTGGTTTCAGTGAGGCAACAAGTAGCCGGAAATGAACCCCGATCGAGCGAGCGCTAATCGTTCCTCCTTCGCGTGTTAAACCCAATGCGGAATATTCAGCGTGGAGTTGCGATATATTGCGATTTATTGCGGCTTCTGGAAGATGTCCCGAGGATTCGGTGGCTCGGCAATGCCTGGTGCGAGGAACATCTGACGACGGTTTCTCTACCATCAATGAACCAGGATATCCATAAATAGGATGACGGTATCGAAAACATACTGACCGTCACTATAATAACCGGTCTTCGTTCCGAACAAGAAGAGCTTGAGCATCCATTGAACTCACACTCAATCAACCATCAACCACTGCCATCAACCGAGACCGAGACTACTACCGATCACCAAAATCACCACCGACTCACAACCACTCGATACAATGGATTCCCACAACGATCTTACATTACCCGTACCTTCCAAGCGCCTCTCAGCAAAGCGCCGTCCAGGAGCGTGCGAGTTTTGCAAAACCAGAAAAGTCAAGTGCGACGGGAAGCAACGATGCTCTAAATGCGTGGTAGGTGAAAGATGAACGTCCCGGACGTGTTGGTTGCCATGAGTCTAACGACTATCAGGAAAACGGCAATCAGTGCATCTATCTACCACGCAAGAAGCGAAGTCCTGGTCGTGAGTGACTCCTGCTTCTGACGATGTGTTATCCACATTGGCTAATTTGGCCCATGAACAGCTCTGCGAAAATCATCGACGTATTCTCAAAGCAGCATCTATTCTCAGAGCAGCATCTACTCTCAGAGCAGCGAGAAGAGCGAAAGGCGGTTTCCCAGTCCGTTCTCTCGCTACGATAGCGTTGATAGCGAACTCGGCATGTTGGCATCTCACTCGTACGGAATCAACTCCCCGCCATCGACTCCGCCAACCTCGGGTCTGCATTCGAGAAGCCACGGCTTCTTCAACATGTCACCAGCCATTCGGAGCTCAGACTACATGTACCTGAATTTCGATTCGGACCTGGACGATCTAGGATCTCCTTCGTTCGCCACCGCCAGCCCGCCGACGACCCCTCCAACCTCGGAGCCGCTCTCCGGACATGGTGTCTTTCCACTCATGTCGCAGGACATACCGGCCGAAGATCCTGTCACTGCATCTCAAATTTATGGTACGCACATGGGAACCGGGCCCAGCGTCCAGGGGTTGCCGGCTGCTCCCCCAGTCCCGCTGCATGATCAGCTCGATTTCTGGGCCACTGTCGACATGGATGCATGTTCACTAGATGCGATGCATACACCCAGCGAGTTGCCTGATTTCTTCCCTGGTACGTTTAGGAAAGGTCTCATCCTTTCTTCAGTATGCTGACTAACCCAAGTATCAGATTCGGCTGAGGTCTCGATACCGTTTCCGCCAAGAATCGTCGAACCGAGTCAGAATAGCCCGGGGTATTTCCCGAGAGAGTTGGGAGAGCAATACCATATGCAGAATGCCCTGAGCCCTGTTCCTTATTGGGGAGTGCGTTTTGAGTCGGAGAACCAACTTTTTTAGCTAATCGATACTGTATTATGTGTAACACTGTACTATATGTAACACTGTATTATACCTATGTAACACTATTTATCTAAAGTTTTCTCAATAAATTCACGATGTCTCTCGTCCATAAGTTTGAAGAACATTGTCGAGAATAAGTTAATGGGTGACTTTCAACCCTTACTGAATGATAATGATGATTTGGAATTCTATGACTGTTGAAAAAACCACTTGCGTGCATCAACTTCGCCTGGTTTTTTGAGTGGCTGGTGTTTTGGACTGACTCGCTTAACTTGCTCTTGTATCATCGATCGTGCACCGCCGCATCACGTGGCGAGGCGAAATCATCCTCCCCTCCTCCTCCTCCCCCCCCTTATTCTGAACGATTGAACTTTCGGCACTGCTACTTCGTATCTACATATCTTCCTCTCCCTCCAATCTATGTATCCGGAGAATTGATTGCGGCTAAGGTCATCACCGATCGCGATATATCTTGTCGCGGCCAACCTTACGGAATCGGTTAGCGTTGTGATCATGGTCTGTGGGAATTTACGAGTTCCGAAAATAGGGGGTGTTGCGGTTGTGCTCGCTTGTAATAAGGAAAGGAAGGGAAGAAAAAAGTATGGGGTAAGTGATCAAGTACTGGGGCTTTTCAAGAGCTGGGTTTCTTTTTTCTTTTTTTTTTCCCTTAAGGATTGGGGGATCTCCTTTGGGGGATGGAATGGGTAGGTTGGTATTAACTACCTAGTAAGGTGATCTTTGTTTGGATTATGATGAATGTTTATTACTCTAGTTCTTGATAACATCTCGTGCGGCTCATCTTCTTGATTAATCGGGACCGCAACCATTGCCTCTGACTACCGGTAGTACTCCGACCTGGGGTACGATTAAGCTCTTGTCAAATACGTAGATCATACTTGGCAGTGGCTTATACGAGAAAACAAGACAGGCACAGCCTTGCAACTGATATGGCGCATTATCATATCTTTACTCTTAATATTTTTGAAGCTATTACATAAAAAGATTCACTAACATTACATTTGTAGCAATCTCTGATCTATCCTTATAAAGATAGAGAGTACTAAACAAATAAACAGCAACTAATCGGCCAAACTCATTCATCCTGATGACAATTACAAATTCCTTCGAATAGCTCACCCTTGCTAGCCAAGCTTCTATAGCCGTGCAACAAACGTTGGCTCATGTCAGATCAGAGACGCGGAGAGACCCGTTTGAACAAAACCAAAACCAAAACCCTTCCAGAAAATTCCTGAGATCCATCTCATCGTTCGCCCTTTTGCTCGTCGCACATCCATCTCACCTCCATCGAGAAACGGGGACGATGAAGCCTCCCATGACCAAAACAATCTCCACAACCATCACCCCGCGTACTGTCCTCGAAACCCTGCACGACCACCTCGAGGCTCCGGTATCTGGGTTGCATCTGAGGGAGGATGTTGAAAATGTGTTTTGTTTCGTTTCCTTTCCTTTCGTCTCGTCTCGTTTCTTTTCGTCTCGGCCCGCCTCGTTTCGTCTCGTTCCTCGTATTCAAGAATATACGATAGATACGATAATGCTTAATCTTGCGTAGTCTACTGTAACTTCCTCATGACCTGCTTCGTCCGCAGGAAGTTCAAAGATGCTCTTGCGACGTCGGCAGTGAGGCTGGTGGTCAAGGCCCAGCTACAGGAAGCCGCAGAGACGAGCCGGGAGTTGGAATCGGCAAGACTCCCCCGGGAAGTTCGCCACTGAGCCGCTGAGCACCGCTACTGTAGCTTGGTTTTCTAGTTCCCGAGATGGTGCAACTCGAACCGAACGAATCGGGTGAGCACTCAGGCGGCTGTCAGTGAGATAGATGGCAGCCAGACGTCGAGCTCGGGCCTGGGTAGGACGGGGAGTGGACGGCAGCAGCAGCCGGCCAAGTCGAGGAGTGGTAGTAGGAAATACTAACATCAATCTCTGGTGGAGCTGCCATCATGGGGCGTTCGAGGTTAAAAAAGAAGGAAAAAAACCATTTTTATTCTTTTTTTATTC